TTATTTTTTTAATTTTCTTAAAATTTTACCAAACCATTGCAAAATAATAACTAGTTTTTTACCATCATGTGCGGATCCCTGGGTAAAAATGAAAGGAAATGGAGTATTCAGAAAGTATGCAACAACATTTTTTTTCTGATTACCGCAATATTTTTCTCTTAGTGCAGGGATGCTGGAAAATGCAATGGCATGTACAGAGCTCCCTGCGCCGTTGCAGCATTTGTTGGTTGCTTTTTTTGATGGGTGGCTCTGGGTGGAAGGGCGGGAAAATAGCTGGCTGGATGGAGAACGCGGTGGTTCTGGCGTCGCAGTTTGCCAAGCCATCCGGGCATTAAGTTATTTCGTTGAATTAAAGCCCGCACTTGCGCCATTTGACTTTTGGGCATCACTTGTTTTTATGTGCATAACCCACAAAACCAAGCACCACCTCCCCTTTCGACCCCCTTAACCCCCTGAAGTCGCCGTCACTGAGTTGAGCTTTCCTTGCTGAACTGAACGCTTAGTTGAGTTTAGTTTAATTTTGCACACTCGTCGAGCAATTTGAGCTTGCCTTCTCCTCACATTCACCTCACATCCCATTTGGCATTTGTTTTTCGCCCTCCTTTAAAGTTTTCCATTTTAGCTTAAAAAATGTCCCTTTTTCTATTGTTCTATGGTTTTTTTCATGCGCTTTGATTTTGTTTACGTTTTACGCCAAATGATTTGTTGTTGAACTTAATACAAGTTGACAAAAAGGAATAACAATGGCAGCTGTTGCAAAAAAGCAACAATGTTTGTTTTTAAGGGTGGGGGTGGTGCTTCTAGGGGAGGGGAAGGGGCAGGGCGGCAGGTGATTGGGTGGGGGAGTGCAAAGGAACAACAATGCCATAGAATAAACAAACAAGGCGAAGCAAGGCAAAAGGCATCGTCTGCTCGAATGTGGCAAATGATTTCAAACTTTTCAATCGACCGTGGAAAACTAAGAAATTTGCAAAAAAAAAAGTAAAGTATAAATGGAAAGTTAAGATAATAATGAAACACTCTTTAAAGATACATTTAGTTGATATACTTTTGCATAAAATATTTTAGGGTGTAAATCTTCTGGTATTTAACTTAATTCGAGTATTATATTTTGGAATCAAATTACTTTTATAAAAAGAAATAACGTTTCCAAAAACAAAAGCGATTAAAATTATTTGGTTTTGTGTTGGAAAATATTTTGTTAAATCTTTGATACAAAATCCTGTTTTTCAATTAAAAATCGTAACTTTTCTTAATTGTTTTTACCACGGTTTCTGGCTAGAGCACCATGTATGAGACGAATCGCAATCGAATGTTCAATATTTTAGCATTGCCAACTCACGTCTCTGTGTATGTGTTTTTTGCACATACATTTGTACATGTGTATGTTTCCACTTCCTTCGACGATTTCCGGTTTTGTTCCTCTTCTTTTTCCCCTGCTGCTTTGTAGCTAGAAAAATTCCCATTTTCCTCCACAAACACACACACATAGAAACGAAGACTTTTCTTTTGCTTCCACTTTTTTTGTGCTAGCATTATTTTTATTTCCTTTCCTATGAAATGGCGATTTATCGATGTGTGAGAGAAAAGAACGGCAACAAAAAAATAGAAATATTTATGGGAATGATCGCAGAATGAATGCCACGTAATTCGGTGCTGTTGGCAACATTTGTCATTGTTGATTTTGGCCAGAAACGACTTTATAGCGCGCTATATACGTAGCCTGTCCGTCGAGGCCAATAACTTCTTCAGCATAACGCACAAAAAGTGAACGCGAAATTGCGCGTAAGTAATGCCCATTGTAAAGGGACTTCAAAGGACAGGAGCGGGGAGTGTAGGGGCAAAAAAGGGGGGTTTAAAAAAAATATATATATGTGGAAGGACCAACTCGAAGCCAAACAAAGGAATGGAAACAAAAGCAGCACAAAATGAACTGAGCAGGAACATTATAGAAATTCTTGTCCCTCTTTCTCTAGGCACACTCAGAAAAAATCTCTAATCCTATAACGATTCTGGTCAGTATTATCTAGGAATACAAAATTGTGTTTAGGTATTTGTACAACATTTTATAAAATACTTTTGTGTGTTAGCTCAAAACAAAATTTTTTTTAAAAATGTTAAAATTTGTTATAGTAATATAAATTTAAAATGTTGGCAAACTATTAGTTTTTGTTTAGTAAATTAAATTAGTAAAGTTATTCGATTATTTTCTTGAACTTTCTGCCAGTGTATCCTTTTATTTTCCCCCTATTTTCCTTTGAGTTTTCCTCTCGCTCTCCACCACACATGGCACTTAAGATGCGCATTTCTATACGTAGGTGCACTTGTTTGTGTGCGTGAGTTTGTTGGAAAACTTTTGTGCATTCAACTGCAAGGCCGGTGCATTTTCCGCCCATCCCACACTCAGCCACCCCAAACACTTTTTTAATAAAAAGCCAAACAACGAGCAAACTACGTTCGATGCATGGCGAATTATCCAAAAAGTTTGATGACGCGGAAATGCCTTTCGACAATAAACCAACAAAAAACAAGAAGAAAATAAAGAAAAACACCCAACCAGCTCGGATGCAACTGCTGCAGTTTATTCGTTTATTCGTGCATATGCGAAGCGAACTCAGCCGGAATGCTTATGGAATCGAGAATTGAGTGGGGGAAAAATGGAAGCATCATTTGAAATTCGAATGGGGGAGCTAGGGGCCATAAAATAGCATGTCCCGCTGAAAAACACCCCAAGGAATAATTAGGGAACAGTTTAAAGGGGTCAAATCGAGCTGAAAGTCCTTATTATGAAGAGTGCTTAATAAAGTATTAAATTATTTGATTTTTGCAAGTATGATTTAATATAATAAAAGTTTTAGTAATTACAAAGATTAAAAGATTACTTCCTAAAATAAAAACTCCATGAATCTAGGGATTTTTATAATGCTTTATATCACTTGATTAGTTATTTTTCGAGGGATTTTAAATAGGAACCCATAATTTACAGCCCCGACAGCAAACACGTTCATTATGTGGTGGTATCCATATAACCAGAATACACTTGGAATCATCGAACTACAACTCCATTAAATATAATTTATCGGCCACTTAAATTTCATGTTCAAACTCAAATTAGCATGCATGTTGATTATTCTTGCCCGCATGTGCATGAAAATCCATTGAGGGCGCAAAGGGAAAAACTAAAAGCAAGTTGAGTGAGTAAATTGTAAATAGCACTTTACACTGCACAACACGATGGCGGCCACACTTCGGGATGGTTTTTATCCGCTCCTATTTATTTCCTCCTTTTTTTGTCAATTATGTTTTTATTTTTTTCGAAATTGGTTGGTTAATTTTTATGCTCGTTATGGAATTGGTTTTTGCATGCATTTACCTTTTTAATTGCTAATTGCATGTGTGCGAATAACGAAACCGAGTGGATGGAAGTGTGTGGTTGTGTACTCACTTAAACTGCAGAAAATGCAGTACAACTTAAATACATTTATCTATTGGTAGAAATAAAATATTTAATTGAAATACAAAATTTTAAAAAGTTGATTGTTCTACTGTATTTAGCATGGTATTGTACTTACCCTATTTATTTAATTAATTTAGCATTGCGCATGGCATAAAGAAATCTGTGTTAAAAACTAAATAATCTTTTACCTGCTTTTTATTTTTATATTTTTTTAACATTTCCTAGGATCAAGAAGGTCGCAAGGTGATTCCCGAGGAGACGGAGTTGCACGCCTCGAAGACCACTGTGAATTTGGGGGAAGAGAAGGGGGAATCGCCACCACAGCAGCAGCAACCACAACAACAAGCGAATGGAAATGGGAAAAGTCCGCCGCCGCAGCAGCAGCAGGATGATGAAAAATCCGACGCCACTTGATGGACTGCCAACCCAATTCTCTGACCTGCCACACGTGGCGTATGAGTGATATTAATAAACCAAAAGCGAGAGGAATGGAGAGAAACATCAAATTGATAAATGAAAACTATTGTTTAGTTGTACATGTGTGTGTTATGTTATATAAATGTATATGTCTATGTATAAATTATGCAAAAACCGAAAAACTGAATAAATGAAAATTGTTGAAAACACTAAAACACAAACACAAACAATTGTTTTCCCATTCAAATTGAATTCAAGCCTTTCGCATGGTTCGCTGGAATTTTCCACTTTATTTTGCTGATTGGCTTAAAAATTAAACTGTAATTGCCCAAAACGCCAAGTGTTTTGCCATAGGTTAGTTTGCTATTATTTTTATTTTAATTTTCATTTCATTTTCATTACATTACTTTCATTTGCTTGGCTCTATTTGTGTCTGTGTTTCTGTTTTCTCCTTAGGCTAAGGCTTCTCATTAATTTTATTTTATTGGTTTTCCATTTGTATTTTTCCATTTCCATTTTGGTTTGCCTCAGTTTATCGTTATTAATTACTTAATATAGCGTTTTAATTACAATCTCATTTTTCTCTGCATATCAAATTGCACGAAAATCTATTATTGATGCAAAATTGGATGCATCAAGTCTCAATTTATTTCACTTATTTGCCTTACGGTTTTTCTTTTTTATTTGATTTAAATCGCAATTGAGCTCTACGTTGCGCCGACCGACCTCCTTTGCAATTCGATCAGCATTAATGTTTACATATCAACAGCAATATGCTAAATGTGGCCAGCACCCGGACACACACACCACACACTCATTTATGGAAATAATTTCAAAATAAATATTATTTATGCACAAAAAACATATTAACTTTTGTGGCTACAATTTTAATTTATGCTAATTATTTTTCACTAACAACTTTCGACTGCGGTCGAACATTCGGGGCCGACGGCAGCAGCAGCAATAATCTCTGATATCTGCCCTGACCAAATTCAATTTAAATCACCCTTCCATTTGCAGAACAATCTATTGGAGAGGCAAAATTAATTAAAACTAAACTAAACAGAAATTCATGAAATTAGTTGATATAATTCCAATATTTGCGACACATTCAACACAAAATTGATTTCGCAACACACAATAGAATTCGGTTTTCGCTTTATTATTATTTAACTAATTGCAAACATTTGGAAATGAAAATGCGGTGAAAGGCGTGCTTTATTAAATGCTATCAAATTGTATTTTCTGTTGCTCATTATAATGTCATATTTTCGGACTGGCAAACATAATTTGCTGGACTCTCTTTGATGTTTTGGTTGCGAAAAGTTTTAAACTTTCAAAGGCCAACTCTAGCTAATTAAAATTACAGAGAAACCTTTTTCGCTATGGGCTGCAGGCAAATCATTTAATCTCCTTGAAATGTCCATATGCAAATGCGCACCTATAAACTTGAATTTCAGACCGGGCATTTGCATAGCAAATTCATGAAGATTTTATGGCCACAATTAGCCGAGATAGTCTGCCCTATCTGCTCCTTCAGGCCAGCCATAAAACGATTCCACATGAGAAGGCCAACATAAATTTGTGTTTCCCTCGGACAAATGTGCAATATTCATACAGTAAACTTAGGCAGTCAGAACTGAATGCTAGCATATTAAACATTTACATAATTCTAGATGATCTCCCTGCTCCACCAACATCGTATTTTATAATCAAACATTATCCTTTTTGTGTGTCAGTGTGGTCTTGGGTGTGTGCTTAGCCAAAATAAACCTTGATAAACAAGTTTGCTAAGCCTATTTATGCCAAGAGATACATGTATTAATCATACACATTTGTGTTTTGTTTGCATTAGCCCGGAATCGTAATCATAAAGTTAATTTTCACACACGTCTTTAGTTTATTATTATCGAATACTGTTCAATATTTGGAATATTCAACGAGTAGCATCAAAGATAATTACACAATCACACGAACCCAACCCAATATCCACTCACTCCTCTTTGTTTGGGGTGAATTTGACTAACCAACCGCCGCTGCCGCTGCCGTCCAAGTCTCACTGTATCAACGGCGAGTGCTGTGAGTTCTCGCTAAAGTCCACCGTGTAGTACATGTCGTTCTCGAGATTCATGGCCAGGTGCCGCTGAAAAGGTCGCTCCTGCAGCTGGCCACCCAGCGTGGTCTGCGTTTGGGGTTGTCCTGGCAAATGCCGAGTTCCCGGCTGCGCTCCGCCTCCTCCGCCGACCCTCGGTCCACCCGGGGGCGCCACATTATTGGCACTGCCGGTGGCGGTCGCGGCGGTGGCCCCTTTGCCACTCAGCCAATGTTTGTTGAGTTTGCCCTGCATTTTCGGGCGGCGACTGAAGCCCAGTATGGGTATAAACGAGGTGGAACGTGTCGAGAATTTCCGATACGTCTGATTGACCTTGCAGTGACAAATGGTGACCTGCAACGGAGAGAAATGGTCGCGAGGGGTTAGGTAAATGGTTATGGATTGGCTCGTAATGGTAATGGAAGTGGAGCCAAAAAGCTTTTGGGTTCCGGTCCAGCTAAAGATAGTTTAAAATTGAATTTCAGTAAACTTTCCCATATGATTTATTCACCAGCCATTTGAAAATCTTTATAAAAAATATAAAATAATTATACCAAAGAAATGGCCAAACTTTGTTCGCTAAATAAGCCAACTTAAACTTTCGACATCAACCTGTCCAATACAGGACTTTATAAGTTTGCATTAATTTGGCATACCGAATTGCTCTCGGCTTCCAATAAATTGGCATGGACTCGGCTCTCCACTTGAAGGAGCACACATTGTGAACGGACACCAATTGTATAAATTTGCATCTACTTTAAGCCTGGAGGTCCTGGAGATTGGGCAACTTTTGGGTTAAAGCCTCGGCTGCAGCTCGAACCATTTTGCCGACATCGAAATGAATATGCAATGGCATTTCGCGCACTTTGCATAACCGCAGAGTACAATTTCCCCCGTTCGGTCATGGGAGTAGTCAGGGACTTTCGAGGGGGATTTAAGGGGGCTTGGGGATCGGGGAACTTACCACAACGGCAACGATGAAAATGGCGGCTGCCAGGACTCCGGCCGCAAAATATGCATTATGCAATTCAATGGGACTCTTAAGCACAACCGATGAACCGAAAGTTTTGTCATTAAAATTTCTAGCGTTCGCATCGTCCACAATAAATTCGCTGGAACTAACGACCGTCTCCACCACAAACTCATCTGCGAAAAGGCCGGAAAAGAAGGAGGCAGGTATGAGGAAAAAAGTTAGATAGTCACCGAGGGAAACATATTTCCTCCTGGCCACGCTGATGGCCCTAATCAAGTTAATGACTTTTCGGGAAAGGCCCAAAACGCCGCGGGGAAACTCACCTTCGCACATGGTTCCCGTGTATCCGGGTCGACAGGCGCAGTAGAAGCTATCGCCGCTGGACCAACAAGTGCCGCCATGGGTGCAGGGATTCACGTTGCATTGCTGGAAATACTGAAAGTTATCAATGCATTGGTGCTGGATTGAGTGCCAGAGTGCATGGGGAATTCCCGAGAACACTCCGAAAAAGAATTAATTTGTAACCAAAAGAAAGCCATTATATTTGAGGAACTCTTAAATTATTTTCTAGATTAACTATTCCCATTTCTAATCTCAAAAAACATATTATTTTCATCATTTCACCACAATTAATTAATTTTTAAAAGTCACAAAAAAATTATTAATTTTATACAAACAATAACGATTTTTCTATTTTTCAATAACTATTTTCCTTTATAAACACTGAATAATACTTTATTTTATTAAAAATGTCGTTAAATAGTTTTATACGTTAAATTTAATTTCTTAAAATTGTTTTATACAACCCAAACTGTTGTTAACTCTTTCAATTGCTACCTTAATTTTTTTCTACCCCCAAAAACAACACAATATTTTCCAGCAAAACGTTTTTCTCTTATCAATTCCAAAGTATTGTTTAAGTAGCACACATTTATGATCCCCTAATGGAGAACCACAATTTTTGTATTACATCTTTGCAACTTACGGAGCCTGGAGTATCATCTAACCACACCCAACTAACAATTAGAATGGAGGGACTGCCGCTCTGCCATTCTTCCACTTTCTGTTTCTGTGTGTGCCTGGCATGTAGAATGTAATTAATTTTGCTGCCTTCCCCAACAGGAGCCACCAGCCATGAGCCACTGGCAGCCGCAATTTTCAGCCGCGGTCTGACCCGGCCACGCCCCTGTACGCCCCCCGCCCCCTATATATAATGACAGTGTTCTCCGGAATCCTTGGGTCCTTGGAGCAGTCGCGGTTAGTCAGCGTGTCCATCATTTTCACAAAGCTTTAATTATGGCGCCTTGACGCTTAATTTATGTACATTTTGTTAAGTTTTATTTTAGCACCACGAAATTATCAAGTCCATTGAGCGTTTATTAAATTCTTTTTGAGTTAGTTCCCACCCTAACGCAATTTATGAACTTGAAGTTGGCTTGAATAGAAATTGATTTGCAAGTCCAAACAAGCGGAAAACTTATACACAGAATATCAATTTCAATATGCGGAGCATAGACTATTCATTAGAGGTCGACGAGGCGAAGTCGTAAATCAGTTTAAAAATGCACAAACAATGGTGTGTATGCAATTGTGCTGGCCAACAAAAACTGGCTACAATTATGCTACTGCGAGCAATTTGTGGCTGGAATATGTTGGAGATTTTGCAGGACCTTCCCTTACCAAATAACCCAACGAAAGCAAAGCAAAACTGCATAAATCATGACTTACCGTTCGTGGCATTTGATTACAATCCGGTCCGTTGCGACCTCCTGGGCATTCGCAGCTGAAATCATTTCCATGATCAATACAGCGATGTCCTTCGGGGCAAGGCTTGTTGGCGCAGAAATCAACCTAGAAAACACACAGCAGAAAAGCGGGCACAAATCAAAGCATATTGTGGCAGCAGAGTTCGAATAGAAACAGAACGGAACAGAACCGAACGGAGTGGAGCTGAAACTTCATTACGTATTCAAAAATGTATTTGCCCAGAATTCGTATCTGAAGGATACACTGTTCTCCCACACACACATCCAATCCCATTTCCTATGCCCATGTGTGTGTGCGAAAGTCTGGGCAAATTAAATCAATATCCATTCAAGCCCCACAGACAACTGCCTGCCGAGTCCTTCCACTTTCTCATCGGGGAATTGTCGCGGGATTTGTTTTCAATACAAAATATTGATTATCCCGGGGAGCTGGAATCGACTAATGGGCACTCTTGGGGCTCCTTTTCCGCTGAGGATTTATAAGTCATGTTCTCACGCTTCTTTGGTTGTTTCTTAAACATTTTAAGTGCTTCGTTTTGAGATAACTTATAAAAAAAAAGGAATTCGAAAAATGGACTTAGATAGTTGGACTTATTCGTTTGATAAACTACCAAATGTTTTGATATTAATATCTTTATTTTATTGTAACTTTGCAATGGGGTTGGTAAAGAAATCCATAGAACTGATGATAATTTAGATTGTTTTAAAATTTGGTAAATCGATTTAAACATTAGGTTTCGATCAAAACGTTTACAAATATACCCATATTTCTCTTAGATTAACATTTATTTAATGGTGGTATATCCATATCCAAAAATTAAAATGCAAATTTAAAGCTATAGAATGGTTGCAGCCCATTATTTTACAGGGTATTTCCGACTGCGCTCTGACTCAAGTAAGACTACATTTTATATTTATTTGACATTGTTCACTCACCTTAATTTGGCAACGGTTGCCGCTGTATCCCTTCGTGCAGCGACACTCGTAGCTGCCAATGTGATCGATGCACTCGCCGCCATTCTGACACGGATTCGATTCGCATTCATTATACTCGAAGTTGCACAGCTCGCCAGCGAAACCTGCGAGACGGGAATTTGAAAAAAAGAAAAAAATTGAGAACGGGGGGGAAGGGTTCAAAAGGTTGCGGGTAATGTAAATGTGCAAAGTAAATGAAATGGAAATTTCAATTGGAAATGGGAAATGCTTTTGGCTGAGCGACAGACTGAGACGCAGACTTCCCGGAATTGCCCTCGTCTCTGTCTCAGCGATTTTATTTTTCTACATTTACTTTATTTACTTTCATTGTGATTGAGTGCGATTTATGCAAATTGTGTTTGTGCCAATGAAATAATTTATGAACTCCGATGTAGATTTTTTGATTTGCGCTGATTTCAATTCAATTGCAAAAGCAAAATTTGATTTGCTTAAAGGACGTGGATAAGGTAGGGCTCCTTACAAAAATTATTACCTCTATGGTTTCTTTAAATTTTAATTTAATAGAAGGTTTTATAGTTTGAAACCTCTATCAAACAGCTAGTTTCAAATTCTGCGGCAAAACCCAAAATCCAATATATAATAGAGCAGACAATCGTTGTGTGAAATTTGCACGATGATAACTCACAAAATATTGGTATTAAGGGAGCTATTTCGCCAGCGAATCAACAAACGAATGATGGCAATTTGCGTTTATTTGGCTGGAATTCGGTGCACTGTTGGACGCATTTACTCACCTGGCTGGCAGAAGCAGCGGAACCCGTCCTCCTGGTCGACACAAATGCCGTGAACACACGGCGAGGACTCGCACTCGTTCAGGCTGTGTTGGCACAGAGGTCCTGTGAACCCGGGCGCACAGTCGCAGCTGCAAAGGGGGCATTTAATACGGTTGGGAGTCACAAAAGGCAACAAAAACTGAATAACAAACAATACAGAAACTGGAGAGAAATGGTGAAACTGGGGAATTTTTGAAAATGCGACAAAAGTCAACATTTATGAGCAAACACAGACGGCGACGGCTAGACAGAACCGCAAAACAATGGCCGGGATAATTGAATGAAAGCTGCTGGTGCTGGTGCTCTCTGCTCCTCCAACTGGATATATGTACCCTGCACTCAGACCAAATATGATTGCTACACTTAAGAAATTCACTCTAGGAAAATAAATACAAGTTGTGCAGCGTCTAGATTTTTCTGAAATATGTTTCAGAAAGTTAAATGGCTTTTAAACCAATTAAAAGTATTTCTTAAAGTATACAGAATTCTCTAGATATTTTAAATTATTTATAAAAAGTTTTTAGAAATATATTTCGGATTAATTATATTACCTAAGTTCTCTTAAAATTTATTTATTTTTAAAAGGTGTTTAAAAGTGGGCAACAATATATTTTTATTCCAAATGTTTTTTGAATTCATACAAAAAGACGACTATCGTTTATTCACTGCATACTTTTAGGCACTCATTTTAAAAGTGATTTCAAAAACCTAGCTTTCCCCATTTATACGATTTTATGTCTATTAAATATCTTTATTTATAGGGACTATAGTAAAGCTCCTTTCAATTTTTCAGAGTGCACCTAAGCCCCTCATTTTTCAGCCATTTCTGCCCTTCTTTTCTTCTTTTGTTTGCCTTTGACTCACCGAAAGTGCGTCGAGTTGCCCACACAGCTGCCGCCGTTCATGCACTCGGCGGGATTGCAGGGATCCGACTCGTATTGACAGTTCTTGCCCGCATATCCTGCGAGGACAAAGTGGACGGGATGGATATTAATGGGATTACCACTAATGAGGCTCTAAGCTAATGACCTACCGTATGGACACAGGCACTGGTACGAGTTGCCCTCGTGACCCTGCGACAAGTCCACGCAGATGCCGTTGTTGGTGCAAGGACTCGGGTTGCAGGCATCGATCTCCTCGCAATGGGGTCCTGCGAATCCGCTGCAGCACTGGCACTCGTACTCCTCCATCCCCGAGTTCGAGTAGCACACTCCCTTGCCGGAACAATCGGCGTTCTCGCCGCAATTGTCGGTTTTGGTGGTCACCTTCAGCCGCACACACTGCGCTCCCCACAGCTCGGACACCACTGGAGGGCAGAGAAAAGGAAACCAGAAACAAAAAGGGGTTTCATATTAATTAAGGCTACACGAAGGCTACTCCAGGGAAAGGCTGGAAACAAAAAATGTATTTAATAGGCCGAACGAGAACCCCAAAACAGGGGAAAAATTTCTCCCCCAAGGCGACTTCCATTGACACGAGATGGAATTGATGCCGCCTAGATGAAAATTGGAATACCCTATAGCTAGAAAATTCAGTGTCTGATTTTTAAAATATAAAAACAAAACAATATAAAAGCTCGACAAATCTACCTTAAATACATTTCATGAAACCTACAAATATCTTTGTAAAGAAACCCTCCATTATTCTTCTAAAAACGTTTCAACAAATTAAAACAAATTTCAAAGAACCTACTTTATTTTTTGTAAATATTACTATTTAGTATTTATTTTGATTTAACTAAAACTAACATAAACTAAAAACTAAAAAAAAATATATTGGTATTCAAAAAGTATGCAACTCACATCCAAATTCTGAACTAAACGATTAAACACATTTTATTACCCACTAGCTTAAAATATATTTTCCATATAATTTAACACGAACGTCTTCATAAATGCCAAGTACAATGATCTAATTAAGACCGCTCTTCATCGAGCGAAGCTAACCGAATTTCCAGCCACCAATTTAGTACCGGGTCTACTTCGTCTACTCACCAATTAGCAGGTTAACTCCCTCGGTGAGGTCCTTATCGTACAGGGTAACCAGCTTCCTGCCGTCGACCACCAGCGGCGTGATATCCAACAGGACGCCCTCGGTAACATCGCAGTGTTCGTGGCCGGAACGAGTTACCTGATACACCTGTGTGGCATGTACCGCGCTGCTCGTTGTTCGTTGACGTTTATTGGGCCCCCGGAATCCAGCATCCAGAATCCAGGTGAGAATGAAACGGGGCAAAAATATACATAGATATGCAATGAGTGGGGGGCCAAGTTAAATGGCTCATGCTTGCTGGTTTAAGTTATAAATATGACCGACGATGTCAGTCCTTATTCCTTGTATTTTCTCCCTGTATATGTGCTTAATTAATTGAAATTTATTTATAAGCAGTTGCTCTCTCTCGGTTACCTTGCTCTAGCGGAAATTAAATAGCACAAAAACGGAAATGAAATTAGTCGAAGCAGGGCAGAGAAACCCGGGCAAAAAGGTTTATTCTGAGGATTTCTAAGGCCTGTTGCCAGGCGGTTATTGCGGTTACTTCTTGTTAGGGGTTTTAGTATACGCGTAGATATTAATGGAGTGCAAATTGGCGAGCCCGAGGTTAAAATGCAGGGTTTATTTTAAAGAAACTTTATAAACTACATAAAATCTGCATTAAATAGATTTTTAAAGTTTTTAAAACTTTATATAAAAGATAATTTTAATTTGAACAATTCTTTATTATCTTGCTAGCAATATATTTCCTATAAAAAATATCTATCTGTTTTTCCCAAATTAATGGTCCATTTAAATTGTCGACTTTATGATTGCGTTAATAACAAATACTCTGTCAAAAAGTCATTTATTTAAAACTCTTAAAGGCTCTTAAATTGTTCCACTATTTTATGTTGATTTAAAAAAAAAAAGAGGGAGACACTCTTGTTCACTAGAAGCCATCTTGTTGAACCTTGTACTCCTCATCGCAAGACTTCCCCTAGACCAGTGCTGCCATCACTCAGCTTGAAAAACAGGACAGATAAGCCAAAAAAAAACAGGGAAAAAAAGGACAAAAAATTTTAAAAAAGGACAAAAAAAGGGACAAAAGTAAATGCGCCTCCATTTTTCTGTTTTACCAATGGGTTATATAATTACTTAATTTAAATGGATTTTATATTAAATTCAATTATGTAATGACCTGCTGCGCCCGACTCACATCCTTCTTTGTTTGAACATTTTACCATGGTAAATTTTTGTGCGTATACGTAATAATCTAAAATTATTAAAATAATAAGAGCATTTCAAGTAACTATATTGGTAATACAAAAAAATGCAATATCTGCCTCAAACCCGAATAAGAGACGTTAAAATCTGAAATTTTTTTCTGACAAAAAAGCAGAGAGTAAAAGTTGAGAAATTTTTAAAGTGTTTTCCTCTTTTTTTTGCTACAGAATAAATCGTACTATAAAGAAAATCCATCGACTGCTTTACGTCTCTTTGATAATTTGTAAAAATAATTATTTTTTAAGTGCCGAACTGTAAGATTGATGGTTAAAAAGGCGTTTTAGCATATAAAAACAGGTTTACACACTTTCGACTGGCAAAAATAACACTCAAAACCTTATTTTTGAAAAAAGGACAGATTTCCGGATAGGGGATGTTTGAAATTTTTTCCGGATAAACCCGTTAAAAAAAGGACAGATCTGTCCGGAAAAAGGACAAAATGGCAGCACTGCCCTAGACGCAGAAACATAGACACAAACAGAGGGAGACACCTCATATAGTATCCAAGTTTGCAATTTTTCAACAACACGTAGTCAAGTCAGTGGGAGAAAAAAAAAGGGAAAACTTGTTAGAAAACTGCGAGCCCAGAAAGTTTTCACTACCTCCAGCTTTGCCAATCTATTTGCTACCCACTCGCAGCTCGCTTTTCCTTGGCTTCGCCTCGCCGTGGCATTATTATTTGTTGCTATTGCATTTGTTAACTTGGCTGGGACCCGCCGACTCCCACACATACACATATTAAATCGATAATAAAAACTTTTTTGACATCTCATTTTCATAGTTGGCGGGAACTTTTCTCTGCGGGCCCTGCGCTCAATTGTGCGCTATACTTCGCATCACTTTCACTCCCCCAACTAACTCGATTGTTTGCGGTCTTATTTTGCCCCCAAGGAAAGTTACGAAATCGGAACTTATGCCAGGCATTTCGAGTTGCCAGGCCCGCGGGCTGAATAAGAAAAAAAGATGTATTTATATATAGAAGGAAAAGCGGAAAATTTCCCAACGTGGTCGCGTTTGATGTCTGCCCCAAAGTTCGACAAATGAATTTTAATTTTTCTTGCGCTTCTTTTTCGGGGCGAGCAAACTTTCTGATGGGTGGCGGCGGCATCTATCAAGCGATAAGATAAGAACCAGCCACCGAGCTAAATTAAAAAGACCAAAAAATGTGTGCAGCAGCCGGGGTAAAAATGATAGCGAAAACCGAGAGAAACGTGATAATTGCCATGGCAAAAAGGGTCAGCCAGCTGTGGTGTGTGTACGTCCAACCCAATGACTAATGGTCAACATCTAGGACAACACGCAGAAAAAATTTCACAGTCAAATGGGAATTAATTTGATTTATTTTAAAACGAACAAAAAATTGTAAGGTAAAAAAAAAATTTGTTTAGATTAAAAAAACGATTTTAGCATAAATATCTATTATTTAATTTAATATATGTTAATGTTTGTTAATGTTTAAAATATAAATGTAACTAATTTTATTTCCTGTGCCTTTGAAAACTGCCTGACATCGCATATTAATGCGCAGTTTGTCGGGGATTTTTGTCCGGTATTATAAAATAAACAAAACTGAAATAAAAATTTGTGAACAGAAATAAAGGAGAGGTAAACGAGAAACGAGAGTTAGACCAACGAATGTGGAGTAAGAGAAAACAATTTAATAAACTGTAAAAAGGGCATGATAATGGCGAAACGTGTCTGGGACCAGTAACTATTCCCCCTTATCATCCCTTCCCAAGCAGACGTGCTGAAGAAAAATCAATAAAGGTCCTTAATGGACGTTATTATATAATAAGCCCCCGAACAAACACGTTTCAGTGCGCATTAAAGCGCTTAACTGAAAATAAAAATAGGAACAAGAAAAAAGGGGGAAAAAATAGCTCAACCAATGCCCGCCACCTGCCAACTAGGTGTAAAAATAAAGGAGTGATTTTATATTTTTTCCATGCTCAGTTTAGGGGATTCCCCCAGCTTTTTCTATGGAGCTCAGGTGTCTGGTGCTGGTGAAAGGGTCTCTACATGATGAGCTCAATGATGAGGCAGCAGTTGCTGCTGGAAGTGTAGGTGTTGCTGTTGCTACTGTTGATGATGTTGCTGATGGCACATAATGACAGTTTTTGCCGGGACCCCAAGTCACTGGCTTTGATCAACTACATACATCACTGCCAGCAGTCAGGTTAACTTCGTTTCGCCAGCAACGTTTTCAACAAGTAATGACGGAGAAAAAATGGGGATTATGTAATCAAATAAAAACACCTCTTAACGAGGTAAAAAACTAGTGACGACCGCACCTTCAACATACAAAAGTTCTGATATCAACATTTGTGACGAAAAATTATTACACTCGTCATTAAATAGACTTTCTAATATTTTCTCATTCGGCCCGCCCTAGCAAACTATTCCAGCATTTTTCCCTTCACAGGCATTTTCTATTGCAGCGTGCCGAATGAGAAAATATTAGAAAGTCTATTTAATGACGAGTGTAATAATTTTTCGTCACAAATGTTGATATCAGAACTTTTGTATGTTGAAGGTGCGGTCGTCACTAGTTTTTTACCTCGTTAAGAGGTGTTTTTATTTGATATCAGAAGTTTTTGTTTGTTTACATTTGCTCTCATAGGAGCTAATATATACATTTAAATTTAAATTGGTCAATCATAATTTTTAAACTATTGTATTTTAACAAATTAAGTTAAAAAGGCGTTGAAGTATTTCAAAATACCTTTTAAACGAGGTATAGCACATGTCTGTACCTTTAGTAGTGTAGAACTTACAAACTAACGAAATTTAGCTATTTTTAGCTTTTTCCCGCTAAAGTAGCGGCTTTTTCCAAAAGTCGTAGAACAAAAGATTCCTATATGGAACTCTTAAGTGCAAATTTACTGATTCCATGACCCTAAAATACAGTTCGGATACCCTCCCACAAAATTCAATACTCAGGGAGCGTTAATTGTTCGAGCTGGCAAAAGTGGCTATTTTCGTATAAAAATAACTTTTAAACGTGACTTTTTACAGTAATGTGTTATATACCAAAATTTAAGGAATCTCAAGGGCTATACAGTTTAAGGTTTTAAAGAAAATCGTTAGAGCCGTTTTTGAGAAAAATAAAAAAAAGCTAAAAAAAAAGTTTTAAAAAATTGTCTTTTGTTCATATTTTTTTAATTATTACATTTACACAAATTGCATATAGAAGGCGTTTATAGCATTTAAAAATACCTTTCAAACGAGATGCAGCACAAGTCTGTAGCTTTAGTAGTATAGAAGTTACGGCTTTCCGATTTTTAGCTATTTATAGCTGTTTTCCCGCTAAACTAGCGAGTTTTTCCAAAAGTGGTAGAACAAAAGTTTTTTATATCGATGTGATGAACGTCATATAAAATTTTCAAAACTTAAAAAACATGTTTTGGACAAACTGACAAACTGACAAACTGACAAACTGACAAACTGACAAACTGACAAACTGACAAACAGAATTAAATTTTCATTTTGGGAAGACGAAGAAAATTCTATTTTGGCTATAACTTTTGAACGGAGCGTCGGATTTTGACAAACGACCCCTCATTCGACGGGTATTTTCAAAAGGAATACAAGTAAAATATTGCGAGGAGGCAATTATCCCCACCGGCCCCAACAGCTCCAAATTTCGAAATTTTCACTTTTTCACTTTCACCGCTCTCTCTCCCAAGCCAATTGATTTTCTTAGAGTCTTGGTATGCAATCCTGTTAGTTTTTGCAATACCTTTCGATAGGTGTATCATTCATTATGATCGGACCATCGCAGTAGATTTTCATTTCTTCGTGTATATATAGTAGTCGCCTTTGCACACTCTCCTGGTGCGCTTCGTCACTACATGGACTGCCGTCCATAGTGATTGGATCCCTTATCTACCGTAAATTGATACTGTTGTAGGTTTTTGAACACCACCATATAGCATGGTTATAATATTTATGGTCTTGGAATAAAGCTAAAGGTATCAAAAGTTGATAGACAGTTAAAGAACTAAGTTCAAAGTTCAAAATTTTGTTTTACATTTCTATAGGTATTAATAAACACTAGTTTGTTATAGTTTCAATACTATAACGTGTAAACTGTCAGTTCATTTCACATACAATTGAATCGAACCAATTAAAGGCATTTTTCTGGCACTTACCTGCTCGTGTTATTCGGCTCGTGCGATGGATTCAACATGGCATCGTTGATTTCCACAATTAAAATGTCGCCGGACTGGATTTCCGCCTCGCCTCGCCATGTGAGGACATTCGGTATGCAGTTCTCATCCGGCTTACAGTGTTCCGTGGTCTGGAGGTAAACAAATTGAAGATGGAAATTGTTGTTACTCAACTCGTCGTGAGAGAGGCCTAAAAGGTTTTGTGGTTTGATGGCCGAACCGAAAAGCTCAGAACTGAATTATTTAGCAAGTTTTCTAATTTCACTTTTATAACATTGTCTAAGGGCTGGCGGATGCTGTCCCCTTTTAAGCCAGTTTAGTTTTTGCCGCAGACAACAAATTTACATAAGTAGTAGCCCGAACATAATAAACTTCCAGCCGAAAAGGTTCATTTGGGGTGGATATTAGCAAAGTTCCTAACATATGCCTAGGATCCACTTGATGTTGCCAAATTTTTATTAATTTGGGTTAAGCCACAGACATGAGCCATCGGTATACAAATAAAAAGGAAAAAATAATCCACAACCCAGACTCGAATTTGTGGTTATCCCTGCCCTTTTTTATGCGATCCGCTTCTATGTCCAACAATTTTAGCATATTTTTGCGCAATTTGAAGCGGTTTAGTTTGCCTGTCGCTTTTTTGTGCCGCTTTTGTACTGTTCGGGGGATTTGTAGGAGCTTCAAATTTATGGCATTTTAATGGCCTGTCTCTACGCACATAAAAATCCACATTGTACGTTGGTCAGCTCGCAAAAAAAGAAAAGCTGCATATTTACATCTAAAAGGGGAATGTGTTGGCCCACTGGGAAATGGCCAAGTTTTTGGGTCACATGGAAAATTTCATGCGTGTTTTGTGGTCGGCTTGCTTTTTTATGAACACCGCAATAGGTAATGGCATAAATTTCCATTTTTATTCCTTGTATATATTTAAAAGTTCCTGTTTTTGTTTGCCCGAGTTTCTTGGGAAACATACAATTTGTTGAAATTAAAACCACAAATATTAGGGAATATAAAACAGTGGGGGGTTTGATAAAATATATATGTTTACGCATGACATAATTTAAAACGCAAAATGTTTTGCCAATTGAATCTATTTCGAATATTTTATTATACGAACAAATAAACGTTTAAATCATTTTAAATAATTTAATTTGGTTTTAAAATCTGAAACTATCCACTTAAATATTTTTAATCATTTTAAGTGCCTGCAGGACATTAGGCACTGAATCATTAGCATAAGCCCGACAAAAAAACTAGAAAACTTTCATCTAGGCTTAAATAACTCAAAAAGTATCTAAATAAAAGCCAAAACAGAGAAAAAGGAGGAAAAAAAACGAAAAATTCCATCAGAACGAGTCCCAAAACAACAAACGGCAGAGTAAACAAATTCAGTTGAAAAATGTTTTCACTGACCTCCACAGAGGAAAAAAAACTGAAAAAGAAAATTAAAACACAGAACATTGAAGAAATGCTTCAACCTTTTATGCAAAACTTGCTTTCTTTAATTGTTTTCTTTTCTCCGTACCTGGTCCTTGGAAAAAAGGACCTCGAGGTGGCCCAAGGAAGTGGGCATTAATTTATGCAAGGTACACATTATGCCAATGCTTAATGTATACCTATTTTCCTTTCAGGTGGCCCAGAGTTTGCATAATGCTGCAGTGCTTCTTAATTAAATTCATGGCCGAGCTGCCATTGGCCATTTGGCATTTGCTGACCAAAAAGTAAACAGGAAATCAATTTCGTTGCCCGAATTTTTCTCACCAACAAAGGAAATGGAACCTCAGCCAAACAGCCTTCAAATGGCCATCAAATTTAATGGTATTTCGCTTGGAAACACACAGAAAGCAGTTTGAATAGACAGCCTGGCCCAATGTTAATTAAACATTCGGTCCACAGTCAGTTAGCACTAGTTTACAAAATAATATTCTTGGTGTGCTCCCCAGCAATTGATGGCAAATTCTGCTAGTGTTGGACCCCTAGATCACAAAAATAGCAATTATTTTTTTTTCGATGGCACAGTTTTTTTTTAAAGATTTTTTAAAGTTTGAAATGTTAAATTTCTGACTTTTTTCGAATTTTTTCTTATATCTCGGCAGATATCCACTTGGTTGAGCTAGTTTTAGTTTTATTTTAAAGTCAATAGATCAGAGCTTAACTTTGCCGTACAGATCAATATGATTGGATGAGTAATGGCAGCGCAGAAGCTTGACAAAGATGAAAAATGTGTTTTTTGGTCGTCTGTAAGTCGGCTGTATATATCGTAAAAACTCGAAATAAATCCGTTGAAAAATCATAATGGGTATAAACTTAAAGTGTACATCCTACCGAATAGAACAAGCTGGATATGGCCCAAATCCATGGAAAACTGGATTTATGGTGGATTTTTAAAGTTCGGATTTTTCCACTTTTTTCGGTTGACAGAGTCCAAATTTAAGATTTATCATAGGCGGCGACATGTAAACAAAAATGAGTGGTGACGGCAGCCGGGTCAAAAAATAGCTAAATTTAAAAGCTAGAAAATTATAAAATAAATTTAATTTCTGAAAATTCCTTTAAAAATATAAAATTGCTTGCGTTATGACTGTGAGTATTTTTAACTAAGTACTATCCATTTGGATAGTTCAATCTTATGAAAAAAGTAACCTTAATTAAAAAATTAAATTCACTTTAATAATTTTATAGCTTTTAAATATCTGATTTAGCTATTTAGTGACCCGGCTGCCAACACCAATTATTTTTGTTTACATGTCGCCGCCTATGATAAATCTTAAATTTGGACTCTGTCAACCGAAAAAAGTGGAAAAATCCGAACTTTAAAAATCCACCACAAATCCAGTTTTCCATGGATTTGGGCCATATCCAGCTTGTTCTATTCGGTAGGATGTACACTTTAAGTTTGTACCCATTATGATTTTTCAACGGATTTATTTCGAGTTTTTACGATATATACAGCCGACTTACAGACGACCAAAAAACACATTTTTCATCTTTGTCAAGCTTCTGCGCTGCCATTACTCATCCAATCATATTGATCTGTATGGCAAAGTTAAGCTCTGATCTATTGACTTTAAAATAAAACTAAAACTGGCTCAACCAAGTGGATATCTGCCGAGATATAAGAAGAAATTCGAAAAAAGTCAGAAATTTATCATTTCAAACTTTAAAAAATCTTTAAAAAAAAACTGTGCCATCGAAAAAAAAATTAGTGCTATTTTTGTGATCTAGGGGTCCAACACTAACAGAATTTGCCATTAATTGCTGGGGAGCATTTCGGCTGTAAACTAGTGTAGTCAAAGGTTTTTAGTTCGCCAAAAACACACAGAAAGAACCCACACATAACTCCGAGAAGCCGATGAAAAGGGTGAACATTTTCTACGAAATGAATTTAAATTTAAATATTTGCCAAAGGGGCAGCAGCTGTGATTTGGCCAGGCAAATGGCTTGATTTACGTCAATATAAACAGGACATGAAAGGGGATATGGGATGTGAAAACTGACTCCGAACTGAAACCCAGACCCAGACGGAATTCGCCAGATGAGCTCCGGTTCGAGTCCCTTGTCTAGTTTATTCGTGATTTAACAACAAATGCGATTTAATAAAGAAATGGATAACCCTTTTCTCGGCCATGCAGACAGTGCGTTTCGTAATTTAGTGAGACCCTTTAATCTTTTTAAAAAATTGTTTAAAAAATATTTTCTTTAATAAGTTATTGGAGGTCATGAATTAATTAATTACCACAAATATTAGTAAATTTATAATCGGCTTTAAGTTTTTATTATTTTAATTTTCCTACTAAACTTTTTTGTGTCAATCAACAGGCATTTTAATGACCACAAATCATTTATACATTTATTATCAGCTTGAAAACATTTTTTCATAAATTTAATTTAATAATCTTTTTTTTCCTGTAAAGCTATTTTTTGTAAGGCTTAAATTTACACCTGCCATAAGTAAAATATACACACCTGAACCGCACTGTAAGCACACCCCCAGATTTTGTCCTTTTTTGCATAAGGACTAGGGAAAACCTTCATGTTTCCGGTCAACTTGTTTAGGGTCATCTCCCCCATTTCCATCACATACACATGCTGCCAAGGAAATGGCCAAATAAAATGGCGATCAATAATTTCCCTTTGTTGGCCAACTTATCGGGGGATTAAATTTGCAGGGTTCGATTCGGAGAATCCTTTTTTGTTAGTATGCCGATGTCCTTTTCTTGTCCACTCAACTGTTCCTGTTCCATCTATGTTAACTCCAAATGTGCTTGTTATTTATTTATGTGGCTCCGGCCGCCATTGATTTCCTTCGGCTGCCGAATTGTCTCAGCTCTAAAAGGTTTTCAATTAGCCGAGCAAACAGTTTTAACAAGTTTCGGTTGTTGGAAGGGAAATTGGATATCGAATGTCGGTTGTCGTTGGCAAAGTTAAGGAATGTTTCGGGTTGCTCTGCGAATTCAATCCCTAATCAATCTTTTCGAACAACTTCAGCGGCTTCATTAGGGATTCTCGTTTCCGTTTGGCTAATCCGTAGGTTCGCAGGACCCGAAAACTAAGCTTCCTCCATACTAATTAGCCGTCAGCAGGCGTATTATGTAAATGGAGTCCGTTAGTCAGTCGCCCGCTTCTACCATCCCCCGCCTCCCCTTATTCTTCCTACCGCTTTCCCTTTTACTTTTCCCTTTCCCTTAACCACCAGCTAATTGCTTAACCCGCTTACTCGAATAACACGCATACGCCGTGTGTTCCCATTCCATTCAGCTGCTAAGCTGTCTTTTCTTTCTCTTCCTGTGTGTCCTTTTGTCTGTCTAATGATAAGAACTTAATAAGGCCTCAATTGTTTTGATAAAGCCCTAAACGCTCAACACAAAGAGAAATAGTGATGCTTATATTTCGTAAAAATAAGAAAAATTTAAAAATTAAGGCTACAAATTAAGCCTTAAACCCTAACCCTAACTTTAAGATGCGGATAAGAAAACTAGACGTAAAAATTTGTTGCGATTTTTAAAACCTATTTAGTGGACTCGGACTCACCACAATAGGAAGCAGCAGTTCGTGGGTCTCGTTGCCGCGCCACAGATGCGAATCCTGCGGCACATTGGGGATCTCGCATTCGAGCGAATTGATTTTCTCCTGCAGGCGACTCAGGATGCGCGGCCTGGCGATTGGCTTTGCGGCGGTCTTAGTGGGATTAGCTGGGCTCGAAGGACGAGTCCTGGCGGTGGCCATCAGCAGAGTGGCCATCGTTGTGGTGGTGCTGCTGCTGGCCGGTGTCCCTGTAACTGTCGATGATGGGGATTCCCCGGCAACTTCCGTCCGCTTGTCACTCGACTTTGGCGGTGTCAGGGCCTTGAGCAATAATTTGGCACGCTTAAGCTCCTTCTGATATTTTCCAGCGGTTGTTGTTGTTGTTGGGTTGTCAGTGGTTCCAGTTGTTGTTGCTGCTGATGTTTTTGTGGTTGTTGACTCAGCAGTTGTTGTGGCTCTAGCTGTTGTTGTTGTGGTGGTGGAGGCTTCAGTCGCTGTTGTTGTACTGAAAGTTTTCCCTTCTGGCGTCACGTTCAAGTTTGCTGTGGCCCGAGTTGTGTCCTCCGCTGACTTTATCGGACTGCCTTCAGCTTTGGTTGCCTTCATTAACTTGCGCTTATTGTGCAGCAGCATTTCGTTGTACAGCTCCTTGCTGTTGTAGAACTTTGTGGTGGAGAATTCGGGATGTGAGGCTGGTGGGTGGGACTGGGGGGCATCGGCATCCGTCTGGAACTTGGTGTTGGCAAAGTCAATGTGCGGCATGGCCATCACATCGCTGGCCCGATGTTGCATGGGAAACTCGAAGCTCTTTTTGACCCGCCGATCGATGAAAGTGTTGCCAGGATGTTGGATGGTAGTAGTCCTAGGCTTCACTGTAGTGGTCTCATGCAGCTGAAATTTGCTCTCTATCTCCGTGATGAGATCATCTTGATCGGCCAGCAGTTTGCCCGTATAATCAGCTGTGGTTATCTGATTCGGTTTGCTAGTTGTTGTGGAGAAGCTTCCCAATTTTTCCTGATTTATCTTAACCTTTTCCTTTGCCTCCTGCCTCTCGACCATCATTTCCACTTCGTTGGGCATCAGATTCTGCTTGTATTCCTCGGCATTTTCGGGCTGTGTAAAAACTGTCCTTTGCTTAATCAGCTCATCGTTGTCGTTCTGGATGATGGGCTGTAAATCCTCGATTTTCAATGGATAAAGATCCACTATGTTCAGTTTGCTGGCCGTGGGCTGTTGGGCCAACATGGCATCGTATCTGGCGCGCTCCTCCTCATTCAAGTCGGCCAACGTTTCGGCTACTTGATATGAGGCAGCAGCCTGCATTTGAATTTGCAGCGGCGAAATTGTGGGCGTTACATCCTCTGAATCCTCCTGCTCATCCTCCTGCTGGTCATCCTGATCCACGGCTTCTGGTTGTTCAGTGGTGGTTGTCCGTTCCTCGTCCACTGGCTTTTCGCTCAGTTTAATGCGATGCAGTGCATCCTTGATTCGGCTGCCTATTTCAACCAAATCGGTTTCGGCCATCTTTTGGGTGGTTGTCATTAGCCTGACTGTTGTTGTTGTTTCCACATTTTCCTCGGAAACTGTTGTTGCCCGCGTTGTTGTTGTGCTGGTTGTGGCCGTCGTGGTGGGCGTGGCCGTTGAGGTTGACCCGCCCACAGCGGAAATTTCCCTCGACTCATCGTCGGTGGAAATTTTCAACTGCGTTCGGTTGCTTTTGGCCGTCAAGTCATTTGTTATGGTTTCACTAGTTGTTGTTGTTGCTGCCACCACCGCAATTACCAATGTAAAAATGCAGATTTTCCACATTTTTCTGGCTTTGAATTTCCCTCTGGGAATTTTTCGTTCGTTTCGTAAATTTTTATTTTGATTCTAACTGGCTGTTCCTATTTTTATAAATATCCGCTCATAGCGACTGCAAATCTGTAAATAGAAAAATACATTTTATTAGTACAACGTATTTTTGGTTTTTTTTTTGCGGCCACAACCATCAATTTGCAAAAAAAAGGGTTATATTTTATTTATAAATCCACAGTCCACTGACTTTCCGTTGTTTGGCTTTTCTGGCATACATATATATTTGCATTTAATCGTATTTATTTTACCAGCGGGTTTCGCTTTACAACATTTGTTTGCTTATTTCGAAAATCCGACGGCACAAATAGAATTTATAATGGCCGGCAACATATTAATTAAAAATCCATACACCCTTACACACGCTATTTACACAAATTCCGCACACATATTCCGAATTTGCCAACAATAAACTGGCAAATACACTTGTTCAGCGAATTTCTGGTCCTCGAAAAGGACTTCTCGCCCTATGAAAGTATGCAACCAATTTGTGCACTCAACACTTTGGAAATATTTGCTAAATGCAGAAGGACGAATGTTTTTGTCAGCCCTTCGAATGACTTCCATTATACGGGTGGGCACATTCATAATTCATTGGGCAAATTGAATAAGCGACAAAGTAAAATAACTAATACATGCAAATGAATTTGATGGCCCCGATAAAAGGAAGATTGGAATTATATAATTGACAAAGCATTTCAAGGGGCACTGAAGCCCGAAGTCAGTTGGGAATTTAAAGGGAGGGAGCTCGATTGATTTGCGGCTCGCCGCGCTTAACCCACTGTTGCCCGTCTCTGGCAGCTGACAACTCACAGTTGATTGCGCCCAGTGGACTGGACGAGACACCCCTTGAGCCAAGTTGAGTGGAACTCGAGCTGGACATACATTCATGACTGGCTCTGTACTTGGTCTTGGTCCTCCTCTTCGCACGCTTATCTCTGCAGTTTGTCAACGCAACTGAAGACGCAGAGTCGCCCCATGAATTACTCGAGTGCACTGCGAGAAAAAATTTTGGCTAAAGGGTAGCAAAGAAGCACTTCAAATATTTTAGATGCTATAAGGAAAAATATATTATATATTAAAATAAAATTTTTAAAATATATTCGATATTATGTTGAAAGAAATACAATTTTTTTTAAATATCTATACCAAAATTATAAAATTTTCGGAAAAATACGAAATTAGTTTATGATTTGTACTTTAATTATAAATATTTTAAGATATATATTTTTATTAGTTATATTTTTGTTCGCATTTTTTCTCCCTCTGCAGCCTCATGTGTGGATGGGCATGAATGTTGAATCTAGTTCAACAGTCGTTCGTTGTGGTACTTTATGTGCGACAGATTTATCAGGAAAAGCCATAATCCTGAAGAAGGATGCGAGATGCGGGAGGAGGTTTCTTGAGCTATTTATAGGCACATTTTGCCAGATTAAACCGGTTTGTGCTCGCTCTGCGAAATGGTCTCATATGACCAGTCCAAACGAGATGAGCCATCTTAGATATTCCGTTTGAATGTGGCTTTGGCCGTAAGGCAACTGAAGTCTAACTGCTGCTTAAACTAAATTGGCCCGGGCAAATGCTGATTGGTTGGCTCAGTTGAGTGGCGAAAATCCATTTAATTTGGATAAATTGAAAGCAATTTTGCATTGATTTAAATCTTTGGAAAAAGGACGGTAAAAGTATTTATCTAAAGTATTTCTCAGGGAACGTAACTGTTATAAGTTTTATTTTAAAAATCACACTTTAACAGTTATTTTCTGATTTGTAAAGTAAAACTCAAAGAATAACTGTTATTTTTTGAGTTTTATAATAAAAGTTGACAAATAACAGTTATTCGTCGTGATCAAAATAAAACTCAAACTTGATTTATGGCGATTTTGTGGGTAAACAAAATTTTAAAAAAATATAGGTATAAAATATGCGCGGTTGCCTTTTTTAACAAATTTTTAGTAAGTTATAAAAAGCACGGGTATTATGTTTTTTTTAATTATTTCATTTTTTCAAAAATGTCAAGGGAATAACTGTTATTCATAAAAATCAAAAAATAACAGTTATTTTTTGAGTTTTATTATAAAAATCAAAAAATAAAAATCATTACGGATTTGTAAACTACAATGGCTAATAAAAATTGTGGTGTATTTAAAAAATTTTTAGGACCCTTCTAAGTGCGTGATTTTTTTGTATGAAAAATTTATAATAACAGTTATTTTCGTTCCCTGGTATTTCTAAACGCTTTAAATGGCTTTAAATTTAAAAAAATTTAGAAACAGTACAATACATGGAATGTAAATTTATTAATTATTATTAGAATTTAAAATAGAAGAAATATAAGTGATAGAACAAAAGATAATATTGCATTTTAAAATGCAATCTGCAATAATATTTGACCAGCTTTATTATTTTATTTTGAAATAGTATGAGGAAATATTGTTGAATTTTTCCGACAAATAAATCCGAATTAATACTCCACAAAAGAAAAAGCAATTCATATTTAAATAAAAAATTGTTCGAAAAGCATTGTCAATATAAAGAAAAATATCATATATGCTGGATGCCATGAAAAATCATTAGTTTGCTGCACTCCCAAGGACTGAATTTAATTCCGTTCCCCGGTTCGGTTTTGCTTATTTACGAGCGCCGATGGCTGGCAATAAATCAAACCTAGTCGCACACAGTGCCGTCGAAAAGTTGCCTCCTGCGGTGCATGTGTAATGCCGACTAAGTAGCTGTAAAATATATTGCAATTTGTTGCAGCTGCGCGCATCCTGCTCCCGCATTTCGGGATGTCCTTGAGCGCCTCCCAGCAGGCATTCAATTAATTATTGTAATGACGAAATTAATTAAAACTCATCCAATTTGATGCTGCGGCTGGGGCCATATTGAAAAGTATATTTATGTTCTGCGGTCGACTGTCAGGTGGGTCAAACTTATATACCGAACTCAAATGGATGTTAATTCTGTGTTTAAGAGGGCAAACATTTTGTGTGTGGTTGGGGGGAAAAGTTAAGAGCATCAGGGACTTTTCCGGCACAAACAACTTAAGCACATTTCTTTGTTTGGCTGCAAGCGGCGAGCAAAAACAAATCAAAATCCGCTTAGTTCCGGTTCCCCTCGCATCCTTTAAAGTCCCCTTAAAGTCAACTCTGTGGCAAGGCCCGATAACTGAGCCCAACTTTTCGCATCTCCAGCCTCCGCATTGCCAGATTTTTCATCACTTTTTTGCGGTTGAGCTCAACACACACTCATTCACAAAAAGGCTGGAGAAGAAAAAGTCGTAAGAAGGGAAAACTGCGGGAATTTTCATATTTCCTTTGAGAAATGAATTTATGCTCCGCAATTGCCCCCTTTTTTGTGCTGACCAGTCTGCACTTTTTATTCAACTGTGCTTCCCCGAGGGCGAATGCTTCAATTTTAAGAGGAGCTTAGCCTTTCGTTTCATTTAATTAAGTTGCTTTAAGATCAAAATATTTAAAATATATTTTGTCAAAGCTAATCTGAGTAATATGAGCCTATTTTGTCTTTTAAAGGGTAAACACTCTCTGTGTTAATACCCAATTAGCCCAGCTTATGGTAAGCTTTTGAAAAATTTTCCCACACAAATTCGTGTGATTAAACAACTAAGTAATTTCCATATAAATATGTATTTTACTTTCGGTTAACAGCTAACGGATTTACTAATATTTAAATTCCCACGTTTTGCATAAATATTGAGAGAATAATTAAGCGATTAAATTTAAGGCCTGGCAGTTTTGACAAAAAAGTGAATAATAAAATTGAAAATTCTTTTTGACAAAGCTTTTTCAAATCCCCGGCATTCCGCTCTGCGAAAATTGTATATTCAAATAGAAAAAACTCATTTCTGTAATCCGGAATGAGATCAACGCTCAAGCTCCCCCAAACGTTTCCTGTCATAAATCATGCTCACAAAGCTAATTCCCAGAATGAAACAAATCTTATGCCGGCTTACGGAAAAAGTAAAAATAAAAACACTTAAAAAATTTCCCAATTTACTGAAGCTTACAATAAGAGGCAAACAAAAATGGCAAATAAACGGCGAAGAGCAGCAAGGAAATAAATGCGAAAATGGAGTGAAGTAAGCCTGTAAAAGAGCAAAGTAGCAAAAAACGTAGGGCGCAACACACATAAATAAACACGTTCAATGGCAAATAAAAAATAAATCAAACATTTCACTTGGCGCAGCCCAAAAATAAATAAGAACAACAACAACAACAGCGGGGCATCAACAAAAATATTGTAGAAATGCTGGAATAATAAAAGTGAAAATGAAAAACAAATAAAAAATGCGGGTGGGGGCATGGCCTTCTATGTCTGGAAAAACTTTTCCGCTGCTGTTGCTGCTTCTTCTTTGGCAAACAGTTGCAGCAGCCGAAGAAGAGGAGCAAAAAATAAAAAGCGATGTGAAAGAGCAAAATGTAAATAGAAATAAAAATGAAGCTTAATTTAAAATGCGACCAAGCGTGGCACAAACACACACGAAAAAAAATCTTTAGATTGCCACGAACTTTTTATACCCGTAGGTTGAATACAAAAATGTAGCATACTTTTTTGGGTAAAGTAAATAAAATGTAAAAATTCGATTCAAATGCAATAAACATTGAATTAATAATTAAAAATCTCTATAAACAAAAAATACTTATAGGCAATCTTTCTTCTTACTTATAATTTTTTTATACCCTCTCTATCCCGAACCCCCCAAGTACTGGGTATAAAAATACATATACACTGGGACCATAAACAAGCGCTAATATCAACAGAGCGGGGAAAAGACGATGTGGAGATGGGCCGCTGCAGATAAACATAGCGAAAAACATTTTTCGCTCTATGCAAAGCAACTTTCCTCCTTCATTTTCTCGCCCCCCTGTATATTTAGAAATGTGTGTGCTTTTTTTGTAGCCTTCCTTTGGTCGCATTTTTGGGGTAACACACACACATATACACAGCCCCGAGAAAAAGGCTAAAAGAAGAAGAAATCTAAAACTCGCAACCGCAAAAACCACTCCACTCCCCTGTTCTCCTAGACCAACTCCATCCACACGTTTTTGGCCTGCCGGTGACGCTTTTTTGATAGCAACCACAGAGAGCAACCCAAAAAAGCCTCCCCTTATCACCTCCCCCCGAAAACCAGGACCTTAAAACAAGGTGTGTCCTTGCACAGTGGTGGCCAGGATGATGGAAAACCAGATTGCCTAATTGAAGTGCTGCCTCATTTGCCGACGATTTAAGTGGAAGTTGTTGAGCCGCTTTTGAAAGACAACATTTAGGAACGAAAATGTGTGGAAAAAGTTTTAAATTTTTATTTTATGTACGCATTTGTCGGGTTTAATGAATGCTATAAATATTATTTATGAGAAAAGTAAAGAGCTATCAATATTGATTTGAAAAATATCTTTGCGGATTTTATAAATTTTAAATTATATTTTGACTACTTTTAAGGAGCTTTGAAAATTAATTCAGAGTGTTTAATACTTTTATTCAAAAATTAAATTTTTGTAAAGTTTTGTTGTCCATAAAATAATATAAAACTGTTTAACAGAACCTAATTTTTCCACATCTTCACCAAAGCTTTTATTTCCCCACAAAAACTTAGCATTTAAAATGAACTTATTTTCCAGTTTTCCAAACTTAAGATAACTTTTCCACGCACTGGCCACAGTGCTTTGTTTCAGGATGTATGAAGGGGCGCAGCCAGACGGGGATTTCGGGGGTTTCGTGGCGCCCAACTCAAAGTGTTCGGCACTGCGTTGTAAAGAACTCGCATTTATCTTTATTTTTATGCCACAAACACGGCGTCTTGCTCAAAGCGAAGGAGAGGGCGACATGGCGAGGTTTTTAGTGCGAGGCGGATGGGGGTTATGGCGGAGTTAACTTTCGCACCCGTAGCCTTCTGCCACCCACTCCACCCAACGCACCCCCTTTCCTCGAGGGCAAAGCTAAAGCCAACATTAGCTGGGGCCACGTTGAAGGCGGCGAACGCATACAAATCACAGAGAAAAGAAGGTGCGAGTGCGAAAAGGACACTGAAAAAATTATATTCTGTTTGTATTTAAAATAAAAATTTAATATTTTTTAAATACTGGTAATTTACCGAACAAGTTTTCTTAAATTCTACTTGTTCTTCAAATAATAAAAGGGATCCACCTAAAAAAAAATATTTTTAGGCAGGAATATTTTCAGTTGAAAAAGACATTTTTAAATTTTTTTAAACATAGCTAATCAAAATAAAAAATTCCTCATATGTAAAATAATTATATAGTACCTTTTGCATATTTAAAAAAAATTCTTTTAGCTTACAAATTCTAAATGAATTCCAGCTCTTAGATTTTTTATTATTTTCCTGTGTAAGGAAAGAGGCTGGCCAGAAGGCTTTTGGGTCGTTGGGGGTGTGTGGGCCTAATCTCTTCAATCTTCTAGTTTTTGCTATGTAAAGTGAAGCGCTTAAGGCCTCTCCTCGTGGGTGACAACATCAGCCAACCGCACACACGCATACCACTCCATAGCACACCATCCAGTGCCATACCTTCAGTTGGAAAATCGAAGCTCTTGTGCGCCACTTGAAGCGCTAAGCTAAGCTGGAAAAAAGAGGACTAGAAAAAGCCGGGAAAACCGAACGAGAAGGGGGAGCCACAAGAAGCTAAGTAAAGTTCAAGTGCTGAAAGCCAGAAAGAAGGGGGAGAAATTCCTGGGATACCAAGCGCATGAGGCGAGGACCTTGCACATCTGCCGGTAAATATTATTCAATGTAGTTCCTGAAAGCAAAATCACGTACTAACTCCGCCCGAAACTCCCTTGTCCGCCGATTCGATACGATCCGTTGGCTCTGCTTTTCGTGTTAGTTTTAATTTCAAATTATTTGTTTGGGTTTACCGTTTTTACTTCGGCCTTGGCTCGCGTGGCCCTCTGTTTGCACTTTTTCCGTTTTTGTGTTTATTTTTTTTGTTAATTTCACTTTGTCGCTTTGTGTTTGTTTTTCATGAATTTTACTCTGTTTGTACTGTAAAGGATTTTGTGGGTGACTTCTATGGAATGTTATCTTTGGGGGGATAACTGCCCAAGCTTTGGTTATTTTTGTGTGCCTGCTTGTGCATTTAGTTGATAATTCCCCAAAGGTTTTCTAAGCCAGAAGAAAGGTTTTCACTGAAAGAATTATTATGAACTCTGTGTTTTTTGTCTATCTCTTGGGTCTTTTTGTTTTTATTAAATTTGAGAATATTTTAAATGCATTTTTAAATGAAACCTTTTGTAGAATTTTATAAAACAACCAACTGTACTCTTTTATCTGACTTTAAAAGAACATTTAAAAGTTCCATACATATTTATAAATTAATAACAATAAACGCTTTCATTCGCATATATTATTCGAGTTTTCAAAGCCTTTCAACTGATTGGGAAAACATTTTGACATTTAAATGGAATAACTAATGAACTGAAAAGGCTCTTAAACTTTTCAGCAATTGAGATTGTGTTTTCCATAAATATTTTATACTCTATCGAAGATTATAAATACCCAATGGCAGTTTGTTTTTATTATGGAGAAAAACCCAACTCAGAAATGTGTAAACTTCGTGTAGTCAAGATTATATTTAAGCACTGTGGTTGCCAAGTTATTTTCCAAATTTTGCTAGCACTCGGCCAATTAAATTTGAGACCGAAAAACGATTTGGGCACTTCAGCAGAATCATGATGATTGGGTAGGTCGGCTGTGAACTCACTTTAGTTTGCAAACAATGTAAACACACTTCGACCGGGGAAACTTTCTGGGGTCCTGTATGCCGATATTCCGATTCCAAATCGCGACCAACCGTAACGCGTCAAAGTTACTCCGCTACTGGTCGCCAGGATGCTGGTCAGATTGAGATAAACGTCCTGGAGCTTTGCTATAAAATCAGTGAGAGAGAGAAAATCACTTGCGAGAACTCGATTTTCTCTACATGCGCACTCAGCATCCGGGAGAAATGTTTTGGGTTTTATTTTCAGGGGAATTTTCGTGCTCGGAAACGAAAGGTTTTATCTGAAAATTACCCAAAACATTGAATGGCACAACAGCTGGCGAACAGCTGACAATTTGAGGATGGTTAGGAGCCGAAGCTTTCATAACTTGTGGAGCGTTTTGTCTCTATATAGGGTTTCTTTTTTGTTTTGCCGGTTTTTCTCTGTCTATTTGATGTTGCGGTTGCTTTGGTATCCCCATTATTATCATCATTATCATCATCGCGTGACGCACTCTTGGCTGCGAAATGCTTTTCATTATGCGCACTAATGTCTATGGCCTTTATGTCTAATGCGTGCATAAGGACCCTCTCTTAAATCCCGACTTGGCTCTGTTTGCACTGCGTTTTATATATAAGTAGTATAAGTATATGTATACATAAATATAGAGGGCATGTTGGCGCACACATTATGCGGATTGAGTCGGTTTATTTGTATTTTTCTTGGCTGTGGATTATTTTTATCATCGCCTGTGCATGTAATTTATTATAATGATTTACACATTAAGTATCATTAAGCCGAGTGCTCGGCTGTTGTGTTGAGTAAGGGCGTATAAATTGCAACTAATTGTTCACAACGCGAATGCGGCGTATGCGTGATATATACGCGAAACTTTAATGAGAAAAGCGCAAATATTTACACGCATCCACACACAAGCAGAGTTATTAATAATCTGGCATCGTTTGGGGAATTCTCGCAAATTCGCATCGGCACCTTAATGAGCAACTTTTGCAGTGGGCGGAAGATAATTGCGGAAAATCATCCAGCTCGCACGCAAAACTTTCCTTCTCATCAATTCGAAACTAAGATGAGAATTTTCGCAGGCGTGCATGATATTTATGCCTTGGATTTTCGGTTTTCCACACACCGCTTTTCCCCTGTGGAAGTTCATTAATTTTTCTCCATCGTTTCGTTCGCAATTATGCAAGAAAACTTTTCGCCGGCAGTTAGACAGACAAACAAACGGATTGACAGTGGGTGAGATATTGATTTAATGCATTGCCAGAAACTCGACGGTGGAGTTTGTGTGATTTATTTTTTGGCTGCCTGAGTGAGCAGTGAAATCTGCCAAAAGTTTGGCAGCAACTGTCAGTATGCAGAGAGAAAAATGGGGAGTTTGACCTACTAATACATATACCCAAAAAAAATTGATAAGTTGATCAATTTGATATTATGTGATATCAATTTTGATATGATATTACTTAGTAAAAGCGCAGTCTCGCTCTATTTCGAATTACTTACTCTTTTTAGTCTCTTTTTCGAAGTCAGAGAATTTCCGAGAGAGAGAATTCAACGAAATGATATTATTTAATATCAATTTTACAAGTATTGCATAGTAAAAACGATATGTGTATTAAATAATAATTAATTAATTAATTAATTGATAATTATCAGCATATTAAGTAATTCAGAACCCTTATAATTCCTCTGAATTCTATCTATTTCCTCTATTTTCCTCTGTGCACCCGTTTAAAATCTCACTTAAAACCCACTAAATGACAGTCGTTCCCAGGGCAACTTTGTCTGCTAAATGCTGGCATACATCTGAAATTTTCCTATCAGTAACCAAACACACCGCACAAAATGCATTAAAAGTATGCCAGGCATAAAAAATGTCCTCTCATTCTGTGAATTTAGCACACAAAGTTGGGCAACTTTCGATTTTTCCGTGGGCGAATGGCTACGAGGGGTTATGAAAGATTGGCACCGCGCTTTATTGCCCCAGTTTTGCTGGCCCTTTTTATCTATTTTTCCGGGTTTTCTGGGTTTTTTTTTGTGGCTGGCGCCGCCTGCACCTTGACACTTTTGCAATTGTCGCATGAAAATATTTTTTCATCCGTTGTTATTCTTGCTCAATTTGTTTGTGTGTGCCCCCATTGTTTGGGCCCAATGCTGTTGATTTTTATTTTTATTTTCGCTCTTCCTCTATTTTTCTGTACTTTTTATTTATGGTTAGTGCAGCAAAATATTTCAGCATCAGGCGGAAAACCCAAAGTGCCGAGTGTGAGGGCGGCACCGAGGCCAAAAACTATGTGGGAGTTTTTATTTTTCGGTCTATTTTTTGGCTATTTCTTTGCTTCTTCAGTTCAATGAATAAATCATTGGACACCGAGGGGATTGGTTGGGGTTTTTTGCCGAAATGGAGTGAGGCTTCGCTGGTAATGTTTGATAATATTTTATGGGAATGTTTGTACTCGTTTTGGCTTTGCATAAATGTGGCATGAGTCGGGCAAAACGAAAGGAAAACAATTTAGAAGCTCGGTTTGTTTTTAGAGAACTTTTTGGGTAAACAGCAGAGTGCATAAAGTCAATTTTATGGCCGGAATTTCTAGATAAAAGTTTCTTTAAAGTTTTTTTAAAAAATAATTTAAACAAAAATATCAGTAAAGTTTAAAAATATCAAGAATTTCGGCAAGATTAATGCTTAAAGTGAAGGAAAACCCTCCTTAAGTTGTCAATGTTTAAACCCTTTAACGTTTCCTCCCTTTTCCAAGTCTATCCCATTAGCTGAAAATCCTAGCCCTCCTCGAAGGGCCTGCAGCAAAGTAAACTAAGCAAATCTGCTGGCAATTTAATCCTTTTGAAATTTGCTTTAATTAACTCGAATAATAAGCAGCATCCGCATACTTTGAACTCCTCCTTTTGCCGCAGCCTTTTTATGCTGTTTGTGGGCTTATGAGCTTTGGCACTTTGTGGTGGAAATTTTGTGTTTTTTTTTTAGGCATTCGGATTTTCGACATTTGCCAAAGCAAATTTCAGCAGAGCGGGACTAATAAGCCAAACAAGAGACAGTGGTGGTGGAAAGGAGGTAAAGGGGGCGACTGGCAGACAAAGTTAATACGACACAGCTGCCCTCGCAGTTGGTGGGCAATTGAAAAGTTTATTAATAACCAGCAGGAACAGCAACAGCAGCCACAGGAACTTTAAAGAGATTCCTGCTCTTTTTTTCGTTTTGGTTGTTGTATTTGTGTGATTTTTATTTTTAATTAAAAGAAGGCATAGCTGAGCGGAAGCGAGTGCGGTCTGAAGGAAATGTAATTATATTTGAACAGCATGCGAAATATGTTTTAATTTATTAAATTAAAATAAAAGAAAAAAGAAGGCCGGAAAGAAGGAAAAACAACAACCAGAAGAACAACCAACACAGGCAAAGGAAGCAGCCAGCCGCAAACCGAGTGCCCAAAGCAATTTGAACCAACGTCACACGCGGCGTATGCGTAATGTGCTCGCAACAAAATCAACGTTATGCAAATTTTAATGCGAGCATAAGGCGGAAACGAAACGGCGCTACGCTTGCCAGTTTTCTCTGGATTCCAGTTAAGGGTATCTTCCAGGGTGTTAAATGGGTATGATGGAACTTTATTTAGGAGAGTAAAATGTAATGAAATGAAAAAGAAAATCTGTCATTTAAATGATAAATAAACTAAAATAAATAATAAAAAGACTAAATATAAGGAAAACTTGTATTTAAAATAACTAGTAAATTTTATGTTTTTTTTAAGTGTTTAACGAAAATATTATTTTGTTTAAAGGTAAATCGTAAACCAAAAAAATGCAGAATATAAATATTAAATATCCAATCGAAAAGTCTATATAAATATATTTTTTAAATAAATAGTAATTATATTAGGTTTTTTACCTTAAAAGTTTAAGGATAATCACATTTTCTGCTTTAAAGAAACTGGCAAGCAAAAGAAAATGACAAATATAAATATGAAATAAATGCAATCACTATTGTAAAAGCTCAATTAAACAAAAGAGCCACAACAAACCAATTTCAGCTTTCCGGGCCATTGAGCAAGCCCAGGGTATCGCTTAAATCCCACCCAAAATCAGCGCCGGACTCTTTCGTCCTCCCAGTCGCCCTGCAGTTGTACTTGTATTTACATATGCGTTTGTATGTATTCTTCCCATAGCGCTCTCCTGGCGCAAAATTACACTTTGTTGGCAGACACACACTCGCATACTCGTAGCGCAAAAATTGTAATGAGCTTATTAAGTCATATTAAAGTCCAAGTACAACCAATTTGATAAAAACAGCAACTGACAGCAGACTGGCGACACACACATGAAAATGTTTTTATGTGCCATTTTTTACGATAGCATTTGGCATTAATGTTAATAACAAATGGCGCAGACACAAGCCAGATATGTGTGTACTACATTCAAAGAAAAAGGTGCCAAAAAGAAAAAATAATATTCGATTTTTCGTTTTTTAGATTACAATTCATGATTCTTTATTAAGGCTTGTAAAAATGTTTAGTGATTAATTCTATTAATTTAATTTTAAAACAATAAATAAAATATTGAATTCATTTGTTCTAATGTTTCTAATTTAAAAACAATAAATACAATTTTCGTCTGCACGAAGGCTTTAATTTGTTTTTTTTAATATTTTTATAAATTAAATTTATATTAAAATTTTTTCAGTGCACGTAATTTATATGAATGATGTAAATGAGCTTGGCAGCAGGTGGCTTAACATTTTTATTCGCTCCGCACTGCGGTAAATTGTTCTTAACTCGGCTTAATTGAGTATGATCAAATGGCCGCTGAGCTTGCACTCAAATTCGTTTTGATAGAATTTTTCAAAATTCATGTAGAGCTGAGAAGGAAAACTACATACATAAACAGAATTAATGTATGGTTTTTAGAAAAACGTTATAAAAGTCAAAAATGCTGGGTCAAATGTATGCCGCAAGTAAGTAAAATTATAAGCAAATGTATTTATCACTCTATTAACTTACCTTTCGCATAAGGACTAAGTCCCAATTTGGAGACAGCCACGCGATTGCTGAAAAGTCCTCTTGGCCAGGCGCTTATCTCCTTTTTGCTGGGCTACTTGGCCACCACAAAGTTGTCGCAAATGTATAGCAAATTGAAGTGCGATTCCGACAAATCCGATGTATTGGGGATTGAGGATGAGGATGAGGATTCAGAGCCCCAGGATGAAAGTGAGCTTTTGCCCCAGGGAAACGGGGTGGTGATACTCAGCACAGAGGAACTAACTGCTTTCGATGGCTTGAACCCAGATCTTCCCATGTATACCGCCCTGAATGGCCTGATCTATGATCTGAGCCCGGGCCGTGAGAAGTTCTTAAGCCATGGGCCCTACTCCTTTATGGCCGGATGCAATGCCAATAAGCTCCTGAAAATTGCCTGTGCTTCCATGGGCGTCTGTGCCGCAAATGTAATAAATCGCTGGGAACGGAGCCTCAAAGCCGAATTCAATATCGTAGGCTATCTGATTGATGCGGATGTGGAAATGGGTGCTGGGGATCTGGAGAATGTTGCTGAGGATCTGGAGAGCGAGCATCAAACGGAGACAAGTGAAGGCGTTTAATGAGCTTTGAATGTCCCTTTCCTTTAGTTTGGCAATAAAATAGTGTTTAATGCTTTTACTTCCAAACTAAAAGAGGGGGATGTTCAATGCACCTAAGACTAGAAATATGTTGATTTGAAAAATGACTTATTGTTTTCGCTCCTGAAAGGCAATTAATAACTAAAATCGGTTACAAAATAAATTATGATGTTTCAAAATGTTTCTGTTACGAAGAAAATATAATTCTTAAACATAATTAATGAACAATTAATAAAAAAAATATATATTTACGTGTATTTAATATTCTAAACAGGTAGCCAAATATTTATACCCGTTACTCGTAGAGTAAAAGGGTATACTAGATTCGTGCAAAAGTATGTAACAGCTAGAAAGAAGCGTTTCCGACCCCATAAAGTATATATATTCTTGATCAGGGTCACTAGCCGAGTCGATCTAGCCATGTCCGTCTGTCCGTCTGTCTGTCTGTCCGTCTGTCCGTCTGTCCGTCTATATGAACGCTGAGATCTCAGAAACTTCAAAAGCTAGAAGGTTGAGATATCCCATACATATTCTTTGGCTTCCTACGCAGCGCAAGTTTATTTTAGCCGAGCGCCACGCCCCCTCTAACGCCCACAATCGCCCACTAACGATTTTAAAATGGGTCCTGCGCCCACATCTTTAAAGATTTCCGAGAAGTATAAATGCAATTTTGTTGTGTATATTTATACCTATCGAAATGTAGAAGACATTTTTCAAATCGGACCATTCATTAAAAAGTTATACGCAATCAAAAATTATATATCTATCTCCCTCGCACTCCCTTTAGCTGAGTTACGATTATTAGTCGGGACACCAACCCGACACAGCGTTCGCACTCCCTTTAGCTGAGTGACGGGTATTAGATAGTCGGGACAACAACTCGACTATAGCGTTCTCTCTTGTTTTTGTATAGGTTTTTTGTTAGCCTTCCATTGACTAAGATCAAATTAATTTTCCCTCCCTTCTTTTTGCCGTTTGACCGAGCCCTTGGCATTTGGAAAATCGGAAAGTTTTCTCCGCTTTGTCTTGCAATCTTTTTTTCGCCGATGCTTTGACAGGAAAATATCGACAACGGCAAATGTCGATAACAACAAATTGTTTGTCGTGTTTTTCTTTTTATTTTCCTTTTCTTTTTTTCCTTGGCACTTTTTGCCCATCAAGCTGTTGACTTTGTCAAGTTGTCGCCGAATTTTACAGGGCTTCGGGTGATTCGGGTTTCCCATTGTGTTGGTATGTGTGTGGGAAAAACTTTGCGCCAAACACGCAATTGACTGAAATTGAATTGAAAGCTGAATGCTGAAAGCCGAGAGCAGAAAGCCAAGAAGTGACAAAGAGGGCGAGAAAGGACAGGGAATGCCGTCAGGTGCTACGCAGCTAATAAAATCAAAATTACTTTTTGCCAGCGCCAAAGTTTCGGCAGTCGACGTGCTTAAGGAATTTAAAAAAGTTGTCCAAAAATTGTTAAGCACACACTTCAAATTCAGTCAAATGTGCAAAAGGACAACACACACACACCACACTCACTCCGAAGTACCAAGAACAACATTTGGCAAAGTGTTATTTGAAGTGTCGAATTTGATCAAGCGAAAAGGTGACAAAAGGGCTCAAAAGTTAACAACAGCAAGGGGCCAATAATAACAAGTGGAAAGGGATTCCTAAAAGGTTGGGAAAAGGTGTGGGAAAAGTAGTGGCGAGTCAAGATTAAAAGTAGAATGTCCTGCCTGGACTAAAACATTTGCATAGATTATCAAATTTATTGTTTATACTGCGTTTATAATTCCGTTTGAAAAAAATGTTTTGACTGCATAACAAAACAAGAACTCGTTCGCCTGTAAAACAGAATTTTTCCAACTTGCGTTTCTTTTCTACAAAAATAAATATTTTGTTAAAAATTTCTTTAAATGTATCCTATATAAATATTTCATTATTAATGATCTGAATACTGCTTAAAAGTAACGAGAATTATTCATTCAACTTTTAAATGATGAGATTAATAATGACCCTTTTGGAGTGTAAAAGCTGTATGGGTGCTTCATCATTTTCCTTGCACTTTATCTTTACATTTTTTATTTGCCGTCCTTAATTAAACAAAACCCTTTATGACTCCTCTTCAATGTCGCATTCTCATGATTTGTGCATTGTCCATTTCCAGTTGGCCACGCCCCCTGCCTTGACCATTTATGGTTTGCCATATAATTTTTGCCAAACTCTAAATTTATTACCATCTGGCTGTCATGTGCAACCCCGTATTTTCTCGGTAGCCAGAGAGATCTCCCTCCCCCAGTGTCATTCATTCATTTTAATGTTTTACGTGACCCATGCGATATCGAATCGAATGACTCATTAAATGCAGAATAGACCAGAAAACAGGTGGAGGGGTGAACAATAGAGGAGGATGAGGTGCCCATAAGAGATGTGTACGAGGTGAAAGGCAATTAACCAGAAGAGCTTATGCCATGGAACGTGCCTAATTGCCAGAAAACACTACTCGAATCTGGTTTTTGCTATTTACTCAGGCAAATGGCTGTGTGTGTGTGTGAGGGCGGCAAACAATTAGTTTTCCAATTTCGGAACTAAAATGTTTGCAAACAACACAAATTAAATTCGCCTCAATTGCATTCGGGCCGAAAAGGAATGGATCCACTTTCTTTCTGGCCAAAAGTTTACTCTGCTCTTTGCCATTCGCCGCTTGCGTCGCTAGCGGGAGTTAATTTAATTAGTTTTCATTTATCTAAAGTACACGCTTCATTACATAATTTAACAATTCATTAGATTGAGCCGGGCGCCCGGCTGTGGTAATTGAAAAGCGCGTCACGCTTTAGTCCCTTGATTTTCCCAACGCCCCGCGATTTTCCCCGATTTTCCCCGCCCATCCAGTTTTCCCATGCATTTCAGAGTCCTTCTCCTCATTTCGCAGTCTGGTTTTTATGTTCACTTTGTTATTATTGCCGCCAGACAATTGCTAATGGTCGCTGTAATTATCATTAAATGCCTCGCTTTCTTTTTAATTCTTTTGCCATTTCTTCTCCTTTTCCACCTCCCAATCTCTTCTAGAACATTTTTTTTATCCTGCGAACAATGGCAGTGGCTCAACAGCTGCTGGCTACATTTTAATGTGTTTGTAAAAGGATTAAACTGCACTTGGCTCTTTAATTTGATTGCATTCGAGAGTGATTTGCCATCCATGGACAATTATGGCAAAGTGAATAAATGGAAATGGCAATAAAGGAATTGTAACAAGGTTTTCAAGGGACTTACTTAGCTGGCTGCAATTAATTTATAAAGGTTTGTTTTATTTTTTTGATGAATTAAATAGGATTTAAATATATCAAGGAAAAAGAAATCAAACAAAATAGGCATTAAAATAAAAATGAGATTTTCTTTAAATTTGTATAAAGTTGGCACAAATGCAAGGCTTATAAAAACTTTGAATTTTAATTTAAATAGGCTAAAATCTAAGAGAGGAGTGTGCTATCTCTTGTTTAAAATAACCTTTATATTTATAACTTTTGTATACCTTTTTATAAGACTTGCTTCCATTTGCAATTCTCACATATAACACACGTAAACACAATTTATAACTGCTATACAAATTTCCATACACTTTGTGCCACAACATTTGCCAGATTTTCCCATATTTTCGGTAGGAAGAGGCTTAAATTTGGCAACGAGCAGTGCGACAAGTCAAATGTCATGCAACCATTTTGGCAATAATTCGTCCTTTTTTTTTGCGAGGGGTATGGAGACATTTTGATGTTTTTGCCTGGCCAAAATTTGATTTACAAATGGCATTGGGCTGGGCTAGCTCAGAATTTGGAGGTCCAATGGCTTTTTGGAATTCATAAATCCATGTTACCCAGAATGACACGAAACAAAGCGAAACGAAACCAAACGAAACGAAAGCTGAACCAGTTTTGTCTCATATATCAAGCTTAATTGCAATTCAGGGCTCGAGGAGTGGGGCCATGCAATTTGCGATCTAAAGAGTTGACCCAAAGGCATTTTGCCGGCGATGTCTAGACTTTGGGATCCAACAGCCTCGGGTTCGGGGAGTTTGCAAATAAATTTCAGGCAAAACTCCGGCTCGGCCCATTAAAAGTGGCCACAGACTGGCTGTCTCGGGTGCGTTATGCGAGTACTTTATATTCAAAAGTGTGTAATTTGCAAAAATGTCGGCTCGAGCTCCGCCGGCATCGCCCCCCAGCGACACCGAGAGGCAGCAGCTGTGTTCGTCACATTAACCTAATGCCACGCGGGAAATGGGAAAAAGGGGGAAAGGACGGAAAATGCTGGCCAAGTGCGAAGCGGATTACACTTGGAAAAATTATCTTAATTGATTACATATTTTTATAATTTTTTAAGAAATTTATATACCAGCATATATTATATAGAAAATATTAAGAAAACGTTTACTCCATTTAAACCTATTTCGTATTAAGAAAAATGTACAAATAATTTAATTTAATTTTAATTTAAAAGTAGATCACAATTTTAATGATTAATTTATTGATATTATTAAATGTTTTCCGGTTTTATATTCAATTACAATTATTTTTAGTCTTGTTTAATTTATAAATCAATGTTTACTTTTTTTCCAAATGAACTAATCTAAAGCTAATTTATTTGATAATTATTCCCAAGAATCTTTACCATTTTTCTCAGTGTATACTGTGGGTCCCTTAGGCTGACGGCTTTTTGTAGGTCGCCGACGTCGTCCTCGTCGCTTTCTCCTTGTTTGCTGGTGTGGTTGTTGCTGTTGTCGTCAGGTCGCGGTTAATTATGTTTTTTGTATGTCCTTACGCATACCAAGAGCCAAAGGACGACGTCTTTCCTATGTGCCTATGTGTGTGTGGGTGAGTGTGCGTCGTGTGTGTGATTATCGTCTCGGATTTAATGCGCACTTTGATGTGAAACATAGCTAATTTGGCTTTTTATGTTCTTGCCGGCGCTGCTCAGTTCCACTCACTCTGGCCTGATTGCTGTTGTTTTTGCCCCTGCTTGTGGTTATTATTTCAGTTGCCGCCCATGGGCGTGGCCCTTATTTTTGCCATATTTAAAGCCGCATTAATGCCTAACTGGTGACATTTTTACGCAGCTTCGGTTTCAATTATGAGTATGTGAAGTAAATATGAAATGTCATGACTCATGAGAGGCTGCCAACAGGATGATATAGGATTTTAGGAACAGTTCCCATTTTTTATATTCGCTATTTTAACGGATTTGTGATTTTAAATATATTTACATTTCACATTGCCATATTTTGAAAGTATGTTATGAAATTCTTTAATGCATTGAAATTTAAATTAAACATTTTTTTTAGTAACGGACGGTTTATTTTATGTTTCCATACATAACATAATATTAAATATATATTTACAATACAAAATTTACCTACATTTTTTTTATTTTCATTTTATTTTTAATCTGTTATGAATTATTTTTAATATTTTTTCACCTTAAACGAAGTCCCTTAACCTTTAAGATGATTTACGATAACAGCTTATGCTACGCTTTACTTAGCAATTTACTTCAATTTCCTGCCTCTTCAAGTTGATTCCTCCTTAAAGTAGCTTTCAAGCACTGAACTTCCCATGGAGGCTCCGAGTTGGCGTTGTTTCAATTAATCCTGGGGGAAAAAACATTTTCGGCTTGCAAAGTCTGTCAATTTTTTTTTGTACAGGGGCAATTTGTGAATTGTGAAAATTGATTTATGGCATTTTTGCGCAGGCATCTCACATCTCACATTTCACTCTTCACTTTTCACTTTGCTGCCGATGACAGCCGACGCACAGCAACAGCCAACAAAAACCAAAGTCAGCACGGTGAAAAAAAGTAAGGAGATGGCAGGGAAAAGCTAAAACAAATGGCAGACATAAATCCATCATCATCAACATTATCGTGATGGCCGAGAAGCAGCGGAGCGTTTGAACAAATTGACTGCAAGCAATTTGGGCGAGGAAAGTGCAAAAAATAAGGAGCATAATTTAGACAAATATTGCTCATACGCAGTGGGGGCTCATTACGAACCAGCTCGGGTACTTAATTCAAATAAATCGACAGAGAGTCGAAGCATTAACCGGTTGGCACTTTGGGTACCTCGATTCCCCCCAAATAAATGCTAATCAACTTAATAGAGTGCTTTGTCAAACGGCAAGAAGTTATTACAAGTCGGTGCCACAAAATAAACTGAAAGTTTAATAACATTTCTTGCCCCTGGCCGAATTAAATGAAACAATTTTGTACATAACATAAGCCACTGCAGAATCTTTTCAGATGGCGTTGAAAATTCTCCTCTTGGCCGACAGCAGATAAATTAGTTTCAACTCAAAGTTTGGTCCAGTCAGTCAGTACAACTGAATTCCACTCGCTTTTCGTTTAGTTCATAATTTACTTATCAAAGGGCAAAAGCCAGGACCAGATGTTTGACTCTGAATTTTGACCAGAATGTTTTCGCCGCAGTGCGGAAAACAACAACAGAAACTGACTAAAGCTAAAACGAGCAAACAAATGGCTTAAACTGTTTTCAACCCCCTGGCAAACAATGAATTTAACAGAGTTTGTTTTAGTGTGTTTTTTTAAAACCCTTTTTAAAAAGTTTAAAAAAACTCAAAAAATACTTATTCTAATTTTTTGTTTCTTTCCAACTATTAACTATGCAAATTACAAAGAACAATTGTATTGCTTAATATTCAAAGCCAGCTGATTCTTGAAAACTCTGGCTTGATAAGGAAATAACTGATAACTCAGAAGCTTCATTAAGTAAACAAATGAAAAAATATTAGCCGAATTTTTGAGATAAGAGTCTCAATTTATATAAGTATATAGAGCAGCCGAAAGGCTAGATTCTGTTTATTAAATTGAAAACATCAGAGCAAATCACACGAAAATCATAATTTTTAATAATTTCTGAATTATTCCTTGAAGTTATGAGCTACAGAACAACATGATTTGTGGAATTATTCTGATTTTGTGCCTGCTTTTGGCCCTTCAATACCCCATAGATGCCAATCAAACTTATAATTTCATGAATGCAGAAGAAATGTTGCATTTGAAAGAAATCTATAAGCAAATTGACAAATTAGAGCAGCTGAATGTAACTAAGGTGAGTAAACATTATTTAAAATCTAGTTGCATAAGTGAAACTAAGTAATTTTCAGAACAAACATTCAGCTGCCTGCACCTTAGGTTCAGACAACTATTTAAATGTACTAATTTCAGGAGCCAGTGATATGATAGCGATCTATGACACAATGGATTGGATCTCAACTCATTACGAGGACATGAGACGATTCGAAAGGGGTAGATTTGAAAACGATACCCAAGTGAATATGGCTAAGGTCCAGCTAATGACAAGCCACGGCGAGAATCACCAAGCTGTGGAAGAGGTTTACCTCAAACTCTTCGGAAAAGACGATCTAATTGGTCAACTGGCCAGAGATAATCAGGTAATTAAATACGTTAAATAAACAAACCTCTGAAATAGTTAAGTTCCGAACAAACCTTTCTAGAAGTACCACATCTATACTTGCAAAACGCCTCAGTCACCACAGCAATTTCTATACACGTTTTATGTGGATTACGTTATATTCGAACTGAAGGCCCACGCCTTGGTAGAGTGGGCTTGGATGTTGCTCAGAAAGTTCGGATTGGGAGGATCCATCGAGGAGGAGAATGAGAGTCGGAAAGCCTACAAGCGGAGGACATCAGGCACTCTGTCGAAGATCAAGAAGTTGATGAGCCAAGCAGATCGCTCCGTTTGGCGTTGTGACCCAAGGTACCACAAACTCGGGGTCACCTATGAGGAGGTCACACGGCTTCTTCAGGGTTACATAGAGAACGAGGTGGACCTAAACAGCGATGAAACATGCAGACATGATTGTGGATACTACACATCCGCCAAAAACGAGGGCTGCTTCGATAATAAGTTCTGTGCTAGGCAACCAAAATGCTCAGGTGGAGTTCACGACTGTCGCTTTGTAGAATCCGATATGGAGATTTGTCAAGCGGGAGAGAACTCCAACAGGCGATACGAGTTCATCCAGTACAAAAGTGGACATCTTCACGGACGAAAAGGATCATGTGGCACATGGTTAAACAGAGCCAAAAGTTGGAACCGTTGGATTTTCATTAGGTGCAGCTACTGCGTTTGCTTGTGTGATGATCAAAGCCCCAAGTCAGATCGCTATTTCAATCTGCGACCAGTGATCGCAGATGTGGACAACAATAGGTGAGTAATCTCTCATTAAAATCACCTTAAAATATTCTACTAAAGATAATACAAATCCCATCTTTCAGAGTCGTGACGGGCCTTCGATTCGTAAAGATAAATCGCATTTTTCACCTGCAGATTCAGGAAGGCGAACTCCTGCCACTCGGAGTCATCAATGAGACCACTATTCAGTGGAAACCCGTGGATGCGTACACCATAACCGATAATGATGTGAAGGAATCCGTTGACTTCCACATGTTGACATACGAGAAGCGATCCATAGATCTTGGTGAGCTAAAAGTAGAGAACAACTCGGTGGTTACCGGACTGAGGTTTCAAGTGGTCGGAACCCATCTACAAATGCAGGCCCAATTCAGCAGAGTTAATTTTGAAAGCGGAAAGCTTATCGAGCCGACTATAACGAGTTTTTGGATATCCGGAGCAGAGAATCAACAAAGGTTATTTCCCTAACTGCTGACCAACTTCTTCAATATATCCTTAACTTTTTTTGTAGGGAGAGTTTGCCCTTGAAGGGCGTCGACTTGCCCACAGAATCCTTCTTCCCATCGACACCTTATCCAAGTGACAATCAGTTCATAGAATTCACCAACACGGGCTTTGAGCAGGATGCTGCCCAGACTACAGTGCCCTATATCGACATACAGGACGTGGTTTCTGACCCAGTGGTCCCGCTCTCTGGAATTGGAATTTACTATAAGGGAGAGGATGGATATGGTGGATTTTTGGGACCCAAGATCATCACCTATGACTTTACTCCATACGTCCAGTTGCCCTCTTGGGAGATTATGAATTCCAAAAAGTTGGATTAGGTTCACACTCACAGCATGTTAAAATGCTCTACATTCTACACAAACTTTTAACAAACTTCTGTTCCGTCAAAATTATGTTGTTTTTTTTTACATAAATGTTATGAAAAATATAGAAATTAGAATTTTGTTCTATTAATTTTCCGATTAAATAGATTCGGCTGTTGATGCTAATCAAAAATTTATGACCGCTTTGCAAGCTTCTCAATGAAATTATAACACCCACTGTAGGGTATTCAAATTTGTCACATTAATTAACTGTAGCCTAGCTTACCAGATAAGAGTTTAAATTGATATAAAGAGCACCCGTACAATTAAATGCTGTTCATTCAAAATAAATCGTCGGATCGCATTGTTTGAAAAGCTCGTTTCCTAATCTTACTATTCGGAAGAAACCATAATTAATCTGAGAGTGATTAGCATTGTTTTCGCTTTCAAATCGTTTCTTCGAAATTTATTTCGTTCAGACCGGCATGAAATGTGGTATAATTTTCTTTTCTGCCCTTCTATGGGCCTTTCAAAACCCAATAGAAGCCAAAATAAACTATAATTATATGGATGAAAGGGAAATGTTGCATTTGGGCGAAACTTTTAAGGAAATTGAAAGATTGGAGAATGTAGTTAAGGTGAGTTAACCTTTTAACTTAAAATTTTGTAGCATCATTTATGATTGTAAACCTTAGCACAGACATGCAGCTGCCTTTGCCTTGGGCTCCGACGACTATATTAATGGAAGTATTTCCGGTGTGAATGATATGATGGAAATCTTTAACAAAATACGTTGGATCTCAAGGCATTATGATCGTTTAAGACGCTTTGAGATGGATAAATATGAAAATATAACACAAATAAGTTTGGCTGAGGCCCAAGTCTCGAAAAAAGAGGGCGAGAATCTTCAAGCTATGGAAGAGATTCACCGGAAACTCTTCGGAAGAGATGATCTGATTGGACTACTGGCCAGGGGCAACCAGGTATACCTATAATAAAATTACATTAAATTAAAAAATAACCCATTACAAAATTTTCTTAGCAGTTTCAAATCTACACGTGCAAAACACCACAGTCCCCTCAGCAATTTCTTTACAGATTTTATTTGGACTACGTTCTACTCGAACTGAAAGTCCACGCCTTGGTGGAGTGGTCATGGATGTTGCTCAGGAAGTTCGGACGTGGAGGATCCATCGATGAGGAGAATGAGAGTCGGGAAGCCTACAAGCGAAGGACTTCAGGCACTCTGTCAAAGATCAAGGAATTTATGAGCCAGACAGATCGCTCCGTTTGGCGTTGTGACCCAAGGAACCATAAACTCGGGGTCACCTACGAGGAGGTCACCAGCCTCCTTCAAGGTTACATAGAGAACGAGGTTGATCTTAATACAGATGGATCATGCAAACGTGGATGCGGCTACTACACATCCTCCAAAAACGAGGGCTGCTTTAATAATAAGTTCTGTTCCGAGCAGCCAAAATGCCCAGGTGGAGTGTACGACTGCCGCTTTGTGGAATCCGATATGGAGATATGTCAGGCGGATAAAAACTCCAACAGGCGATACGAGTTTATACAGTACAAAAGTGGACTTGTCCACGGACGAAAAAAGTCATGTGGCACCTGGTTAAACAGAGCCAGAAGTTGGAATCGTTGGATTTTCATGGAGTGCAGCTACTGCGTTTGCTTGTGCGATGATCAAAGCCCCAAGTCGGATCGCTATTTCAACCTGCGACCTATGATCGCCGATGTGGACAACAACAGGTGGGTAATCTTTCCTTAAAATTATTTGGAAATATTTTATAAAAGATAATAAAAAACTCATCTTTCAGAGTCGTAACGGGCCTTCGATTCGTAAAGAGAAATCGCATTTTTCACCTGCAGATTCAGGAAGGCGAACTCCTGCCACTCGGAGTCATCAATGAGACCACTATTCAGTGGAAACCCGTGGATGCGTACACCATAACCGATAATGATGTGAAGGAATCCGTTGACTTCCACATGTTGACATACGAGAAGCGATCCATAGATCTTGGTGAGCTAAAAGTAGAGAACAACTCGGTGGTTACCGGACTGAGGTTTCAAGTGGTCGGAACCCATCTTCAAATGCAGGCCCAATTCAGCAGAGTTGATTTTGAAAAAGGAATGCTCATCGAGCCAAAGTCAACGAGCTTTTGGGTATCAGGAGCAGGGGATCAACAAAGGTAATTTTCTAACCTACTACCAAATGCAGTGTTATATCTCTCACATGCTTTTTAGGGAGAGGCTGCCTTTGAAGGAAGTCGACGTGCCCACAGAATCCCACGTCCCCTCGATACCTTTCCCGAATGAAAACCAGTACATAGAATTTACCAACACGGGTTTTTACCAGGATGCTGCTCAAAGCACTGTGCCCTATATTGACATTCGGGACGTGATTTCTGACCCAGTGGTCCCGCTTTCCGGAATTGGAATTTACTATAAGGGCCGTGATGGGTATGGCGGATTTTTGGCGCCCAAGATCTTAACCTACGACTTTACGCCACACGTCCAGTTGCCCACATGGGAGTCTCTGAATTCTCGGAAGGTAGAAGACAATATAGTTAATTAATATTAGGAAAATAAATTATTTCTTGATTTATGGGTTACCCAAAACAATTTTTTTCCATCTCGAACTACTTCGACTTTAGCACTTTCGCTTTTTTAACTGTAATTTTTTTTTAATTACATATGTTTTTCTACGAATTCATGATGACTATTTCGGAAATTACTTGCTTATCGCATTGTTTATTTCCAAACAATGAAATCAAATATAAAAAAACCATAGATGATTAAACGGAACGGATGATTCAAAAGGTCGAGTACGACGAATTATTTGTTTCGAAATTTTTATTTACTAAAGTAAAACCAAAAAAGAAAGAAAATCAAATTTGGTGTCGATCAAGGGGACAGATTGATTTAACATTTTAATGCAGATTAAAATTCTATATTTTGATTTTTTGAATAGAAATTACTTCAACGGATTGGCATTTGGATATTTATGCAATATGAAGTAACTTTGTTGATGTTGGCTTCTTTTTTGAAAAGAGAGAATTTTTTTTCGGGTAGCTCATTATTCATTTGGTATCAGGAGGCCAAAAAAGATGAGAATGTCGCCATCAGGTCTGACTTTATTATTATGACCCCAGGCAAGTCAGCTCCCTGAACCTTAACCCTCCGCCAATCCCACTCCATTAACCCCTTGAGACTGCAGCAGATTGGCAAAGAGCAAGCGCAAAATTCAGGAACAGTACCAAAGGACCAAAGGAAAGAACAACCTTTTTTTGTCGCATGCTCAGCGCGGATTTTGACTGCATAAAATATGAAATTAAATTGCTAGCCAACAAAATGGCGCCGGGGAAAATGACAAAAATATGAGACAGAAGTGCAGAGTCCCCGTCTTTTTCCCCAACACTTTCCGACCCCCAAAAGCTCTTTTGGCACTTTGTTGCGAATTCTCTTGGCGCTGTCGAGTTGATGACTTTCAGCTGTCGCATTTCTTTTCAGAGTTTAGCAACTGCAGTGGAACCAAACGAAACGGCTGTTGGCACCTGGTTAGCCACCAACTGAATGTGGATAAGGATGTGGATACAAGAGTTGGCATTTTATTTGACGGCAAATATTGTGGCCCCTCATGGGTAGTTTTGTAACACTTGCAAAAAGTTTTGTCAAAAATCGTTTTCTAAAATGAGTTTTCGCTTTGAAAATACCATTGGTAATCATATCCATACAATTTATATCCTTAAATTACTGATACAAAATACTATTAGGCCTATATATAAAATAATATTATAATGAATAATAAATATTATATAATACTTTTAAAAGTATTAAGGTTATATTAATTTTATCAAGATAAGTTTAAACTTTAAAGTTATTAATCCAATAGTTCGATTTCCATGAATATTTTCTTTGGGGTGGTAAATAATTTACTTCGTAGTAAGCCATGACTTTCCTGTCTTGTTAGTTTTATTTTCCAGAATTAAATCATTCTTCCCTCCATTCGGAGGCCTAGTTTTGACCCATCAGCATCATGGGCGAGAGAAGCTTTCGCAAATTGGGCCTGGGTGTGATCCTTACAGCCCTGGTCCTCTACACTTTGCTTTTCATGGACACGCAGATCTACGAGGCTGGCGGAAAGATACATAATGCGTTCTTTGTGAACACAGATGGATGTCGCATTATAGCCATGGATGTGATGAACCCGACCATCGCCAAATACACCGATTGGGAGTGGAACGACGAGCGATTCCATCTGGAGTGCCCGTATCAAACGTGGTTTCGAACGGAGGTGGCCAACGGGGAGTGGTACCTAAAACTGACCCGCGACATCGATAAGATCCTGGAAGAAAACGATCTAACCAATGACTGGCAGATAAAGTGCGTTTGGTACCAGATGATGGTCACAAGCCGTTATAAAGTCAAGCTTTACCGTAAAAAACAGTTTTCGCTGGAGTTTCCATATGCCGTAAAAGTTCCCAAGGGGGTGAGGCATTTGCGAGTGAAGTGCATGAATACTTTTACAAATAAATCGTTGCACGATGATGCCCATTTCTTCGTTCAACCGCCGCCGGAAAAATTGCTGAAAAAGGCGCCACCCACTTTGAAATTCTGGGATCAGGAGAAGGAATCGAATAAGGAGACACCTCCGATCTCCGTGATGATCTTGGGCCTGGATTCCGTATCGCATCTGAATTTGCTGCGCCAAATGCCAAAGACAGTGCGTTATATGCGCCAGAATATGTCGCATGTGGAGTTTTGGGGCTTCAACAAGATAGGCATAAATACCTATCCCAATTTGATAGCCCTGCTCACGGGTTTGAGTGAAACAGAGTCGCTGGAGTATTGGCAGCGACAGAATTGCATGGATGATTTGCCGCTAATTTGGAAGGAGTTCAAGAAGGCCGGCTATAATACCAGTTTTGCCGAGGACATGGCCACCTACTCGATGTTTTATTATGCCAAACCGGGCTTTAAGCGACCGACAACGGACAATAATTTGCATGACTTTATGGTGGAAATGTTTGTCATAAGGCAGCACAGTACGATTTCGGACACCTATTGCGTGGGCGAGAGGACCTTGGTGGATATGCTCCTGGAGATGAACGATAGATTACTGCCTCACAAGCAGCGCTACCCCTTCTTCTCCTTCTATTGGTATGCCAATGGCTTCCACGAGTTCTTCAATTCTCCCCGTCTCGCGGATGGAAGATTTGAGCGATTGCTGCGCAGTCTCGATGATGCAGGTATTACCAATAATACCATCATACTCTTCATGTCGGATCATGGCCTGCGATGGGGTCGCTTTCGTAGGAGCTTTCAGGGAATGATCGAGGACAGCCAGCCCTTTTTGTCTGTCCTCTATCCCGACTGGATGAGGAAAAGGTATCCCGCGGCCATTAAAAATCTAGCGGGAAATGCCCGCAGTCTGGTGACCACCTACGATCTTCACGAGACCTTAAAACATATCTTGGATCTGCATTCCCTAAATGACAAGCCCATTGCTAGGAAAACGGAGGAATTGTGGAAGCTCAAAGGCTTGGAAACCCCGAGGGCCGTCAGCCTGTTTCTGCCCATTCCTCCGTGGAGAACCTGCAACACTTCGCATATACCCAGTGAATTTTGTCTCTGCCACAAGCAAGTTTCCATACCCGCAACCAATCGAGTGGCCAGGAAGGCAGCCAGCATTATAATAGATTATATCAACCAGCTGATGGCCGAGTATCCCGTTTGCATTCCCTTGGAGTTGGATTCCATTGAGAGCGCCTATTTCGCAGCTCCCGAGAGGGATGGTGACTTTTACATCGAGGGGGGGCACAAGAACGTGTATCCCGAGCAGGGACCCTTTTGGGAGAAGCGGACCTACGAGGACAGGGACATCGTGGTGCGGCTGAAGACCAAGCCGGGAAACGCCTATTTCGAGGGAATGACCCGCCGGCAGGGAAGCAAACTTTCGCTCGTCGGCGATGTGGTTCGAGTTGGCGACGATGGCAACAAGAACAATGACTGCATCGAGAATCCCCTGCTGGAACCATTTTGTCACTGTGCATTGTAGATTTTTCAGTTTGTATAAACTATGAGAAATATGACAATAAACTTATTACAAAGATGGTTTCTATTTCTGGTCTGTTTTTAGAAAATTAAGGAAAATGTTTTATGCCCAAGGTAATTGCTAAAGATTTTCTACACTCACTTATTTAAAAAAGGGACTAAAAAATTAAATAGTATTGAATTCAAAATTACTTATTTATTATTTAATTAAAAAATCATAATATTCAATACAAAGCATATTAAATTTTAAGAAATTTTTTTTTTAATAATTAAATCACGGTGGTAAATATTAACTAAGTGGTTAGTCTTTACTTTAAGCATTTACCCCCAACTTTTATGCAAACTTTGGAGGCCAAGTTTCCCACCCATATCCTTTAGCTCCAACCAAACTAAGCTCCAGTCGATTTTTCTGCACTCGTCTTAAACAGAAGACTGGCTTCAATAGCTTCTGGTCGTGGCAGAGCATCATCCCCCGCCAACTATCTGTGAGTTATAACTTTTGATTTTGCACGTCGAACTTCTACCAATTAGTGGCCACTGCCGCCGGTGGCGAGTCTTTAAAACTTTGCCGCATGAGTTGGCAGATGCCAATGGAGCACCTGCGGGGGAACTTTTGAGGGATATACTATGGCTATACCCATACTATACATAGACGGCATGCAGGTGGACCAACTGCGATTCCGAACTAATGGCATAAGCCGCTTATGTACCATGTACTCGTACTCGCAGTTTGCTCTTACTTTTAACCCACTCACCAGCAAAAACTTTTTTAGGATTATGGCAGATTTACCGAGCGCACACATATAGCCAGGGAGAAAGAGACAGATAGAGGGGGTGCGAAAGAGAGGGGGCTAGGGAGCAAAAAGCGAACGCTTTATAGTTTCAATATTTGCCTTGTCCTGTTCGGGGTAAAATCCCCTGGGCACATAGAGCAGCAACGCTGCACGGATTTATAAATGGACTGGCAAACATTTGGCCAAAAAACTTTAAGAGCAACAGAGACAGAAAGGTCTTACAGAGAGAGATAGACGGAGAGTCAAATGTTTGCTCCGTTTTAAAGGAGTTGAGTTTTATTGTTTTTAGCCAATTAGTCTTGGTCTCCAGCCCGTCTCGGCAATCGTCTTGAATCTCTCCCCAAGGCGTCCTTAGCCGAACGAAATTTATATACACTCGTTTCGGGGCATCCTTGGAATCCTTTGGCGTCGGCCAAGAGGAAGTTAAATATGTTTTATGGATCGCCGTATAATTTGAAGCACCGGAGCAGCATCTGCTTAGTCACTCAATTTGTTCGTTGGCGTGGAATAAAAATATTAAATACGGTATAAAAAGCTTTCATTAAGAAAAATAAAAATAAATAATCTAGAATTTTTTAACTCCCTACATATAAAATATTTTTGAAATGAAAATGAAAAATTTAAATTAAATTTAAAAATGCGAAAAATGTTTACCTCTGAAAACAATAGAGTATAACCAACTTCAACATGCCGTTTTATTTCCCTGCCTTATTTTCATTTTGCGTGTGAAACTGAGAAACATAAGATAGCCGGATAAATTCCATTTTCCATGCTTAAGTTGCTGCTAAAATGATTTATGTGCCGAGTTTATTTATTGCACCTCAATGAATCCACATTTAAATGTTTCGCCAGAGGAGCAGGAAGAACCGTAGAATTTAACGGACATCCGTAGGTACAAAAAAACACATTCAGGGATAATCGAATTGGAAAGCGGAAAATGAAAATGAAAACTGCCAACTAGAACATAAAATGCATTCAAAGCTTCAATTGTTGAAATTTCCCAAAAAAATAGGATATATATGTTTATGTGAATTATGTTATTTATGGTTGACTGGGGAAGGAATGGGATCAGCAAACAAAAAAAATAATGTGTAGATATAAAATTGCCAAACGGATGCTTTGTTGGGCACAAGAGGATACATTTTGTGCATTCGTTTGGAAGGATTTCAGCTCCTTGTTTGCCTGTTCAAACAGATTGCGAGTAATGCGATTTAAATGATTTAAATTATGCAAGCAGAAAGTGATCGGATTCTGAGAAAATAAACCCAAATCCGAATGAATTTTTCTTATAAGCTCTGAATGATTGCTCTCCTGAACTTATCTTTAATTTGAGTAAATGCCAAGTCTGATTATTAACCAATTATTTACGTTATGTTCCTCAATGATAAATTGAAAATTCCCAGCAAAGTTTAGTATTAATTTCGAACGTCAAAACTACATAATTATTTGCAACAGATAATCAAATTAAATTGATATCTCCCATATTACAACCAAATGCATATAATATTTCCATCAGTTATTAGAGAACCGCACAAAGAAGCAAACCAGGACAAAGGATAACTGACGCAGACAAGGACAATTACAGGGAGCCCAACTGAAGTGGAGTGTCCAGGATGGAAGTCGAGTGGCAGGACGACCACAGCAACCACAGCCGTTCATGAGGATGCTGAAAACAGGAGCAGGTCAAGTGGTTCCTACTGTAAGGAGGAGCATTACTAAGGCAGAAATGAACCAGAAACTGCTGACCCAACAGCAAGCCACAGATATCAATGAGCCAACTAATTGCCCAGGTTATAGCCAGAATAATCTATGTGATTGGTCAAACATTTTCAATATTTCCTGAAAACAGCCACTGCCAACTGAATTTCCCCAAGGAAAACCTCAAGAATAAAGCACTTTCCACCTTTCCCTTGTTTTCCCTGCAATTCCAAACAATAAGTTGCCATTTTACTGCCGAATGCTTAACCTTGTCCTCAATCGTAAAGGGAGCAGTCGCCTCCCGTTTTTCCCTCGCTTTTCCTCCAGATGTTGCCCGAGATTATTTTCACCATTTTCTTTGTGCCCTTTGTTCGGCTGCCTAGAAAAGGAAAAATTGCGAGGGAGAAAAGGGGCGGAGTTTTTGTGGGCTGGAGCCTAATCAGATATTTACGCCACAGGCGGTGGCTCAAAGTAGAAAAATATCCAGCGGAACACCTCCATTACACTGAAAGAAAATTAATTTACCATGTCTTATTTTATCTTTTACTATGTAGAAAAAAAAAATATTTTTTAAGGTATTTTTTTAATTGTCATGAGATTAAAGGTATCAATTTAAGTTAGGTACATGATTTTTCTCATACTGTACCCATATTACATTTGAGCTTTGGGCTTTCGATTCTCGCTGGGTGTTAAAATAAATGAGGAGCATTTAAGGCCAAATCCCCATGGTAAACCAACCTCATCCGCAGTCCGAATCCAAATAGGAATCGATATGTGAGTCCTTCTCTTTTTCCCACTCCCTTCATTTTCTTTGTTTCCTGGGAAATCCGTTTGCTGTCAAGCTTTTACTTAATTGGCAGCATTTATCAAAAATTTCATAACAATAATGCTGGCGAATTCTGCATAAATTTGAGACTGCTGGCATAAATCCCCAGACACATACATCTGCATCGGAACGTGTCCAAGTAGGAGAAGCCCAGAAATCAGGTCGCAAGTTCCACTTTCTTCTCGACTCTCGAGCTCCATTGTGTGTTCCCTGTTTGATGTGTTGTGTGTGGGAAAAGAAAGTGGGGAAATGGGGGGTTCTGGGAAAGAAGAAAAGTTTGTGGGGCACATTTCACTTGACCCGCTTGGAGGATTGAGATCCTCGAGAGCGAATGGTGAAGGGAAATGGCATGGAAGCAGTCCGAGGAGCAAATAAAGTTTGCTAAACATTTTCATTGTAGGCCAAGGCAAGTATTTTATACAAGTTGAGATTGAATGCGGATACATCCGCTTAATTGACCGACTCCTCCGATAAATTATCTCCCATTACGAGCGTAGGATTAACACCCGATTGCATTCGAGGCGCTTTAATCGCTGCTCAACCGCAATATTCCCCTTTCCCCCCGGAATTGCACTTCCGGTTCAATTGGCCAACCTCGAAACCGGAAGGATATTGCGCCTACTGCACAAATTGGGGGCGTGTCCAGTTGCTGTTTCCCCCTCCTACTCGTTGGTTTATTGTTAATGAAAAGGCAGTGCAAAGGGGTTTCACTGTCTGCCATTTTCCCTCTGCACTTCCACATATGAATAAATTATTGATATCCCAAATTCACTTCGATGTGGAATTTGGCTCTCAGCATTCCAACACTCACTGCAAAAATGCAAATATTAAAACAGTTATGAATGTGAGTGCCTCTTTGCCACCCTTTTAATCCCCGTTGCTGGGGAATCCTTAATCCTTGACTGCCCTCCCAACAAATGAGTATTAAAGGGGGGAAATGGGTTCTGGAATTTATGGGGAGTTGGCATTCTGTTCCCACATCACTGGCATATTTAAAGTGTTTGCAAATCACGGCTTTGGGAATTAGCAGGGGGTTAAATAGGGGATGGGGTAGCACGGGGATTTTCATTTGGTCAGCTGCACAATTCTGACCAAATTGGCAAACAGCATGGGCAAAAGGATGAAGGCCTCCAAATGAGAAAACCAAATACGAGATGTCATGCGGGTTGGCTATGCATTCAAATTGGGTTCAGATGAGAGGTGAAAACATGAGGGACTTAGGTGGATATTAAGGGGCTTACAAAGAGAAAGCTTACACCAAATTTAATTAAAATAATAAATTGCTCTTTAAAAATACTTTTATTATGATGAATTAAGAAGCCACAAACTGGTTAGCTGTTGTAATGTCAATAAAATTATCTTGGAGGTTTCACTTGCTAACCAAAGAATAAACCAAAGCACTGAGCTAAAGAAACACTGACGAACAATGGCTGGTTTCAATCTGCAGGATCCAAAGGAGAGGATGTGCAGGACATCCGACCAAGGCAACCACGAACTATCCACGTCACAAACAGGAGCAGGAGCAGACAAACAGCGGAGACAGCCGACAAGGACGATAATCAACTGGTAAACAGCCGCAGTTTCCATCCCAATCCCCATCTCCTCCTTCCTTTGACTTCAAGGACCTCGCTCGTCGTTCAACTGCAGCAGCAATTAAGTTTCCCAGGTTCCGTAATTGCGTCAGGAACGGACAACGAAATCTGCCACGCCCCATTAGCCCCGCCCACAAGTTAGTGGTTGCCATTA